GCCGCGGGGTTCAAACCACCCCCCCCCCCCCCCACACACACACACGTGGAGTCGAGGAACGACAGCTAGAACGGCCAACTGTGTGTAGCCAGACTAGAACATTCTTCGTGCCTTGCACACAGAGTCTCTGGGACTGAGGTTCTGAGGATCATCTGAGATGGAATCATCTTCTGTGATCAGACGATTCTTCACGATGAAGAACATCCACACCAAGCTTTAGGTCAAGTGTGGGCAAATCTTTTTGAGTCACAAATCTGCCACAACTGTCCTAAAGTTGAACAGAGCGGTCAGATCAGGATCAGATAGATGGAGGTTTCATGTGAACTAAGATAAAAGACATGTAAAAGTCATGCATAAAGGCTAAAATGCTGAAATGTTTTTTAACATTTTCTACGGCATCTGTTGGGGAAACGTGGGTATTGCAGGGAAACGTCAGAAATCTAATGATAATACAAATAAATTATATAATTTGGAAAAGATTGACGGGCCGGATGAAGAACCTAAACGGGCCGCATCCGGCCCCGTGGGCCGTAGTTTGCTCATACCTGGTTTAGGTCCAGGCAAGAGGAGATCTGACACTGAGACCAAGGAGTGGAGAAAAAACATTTTCTCCTACGTTTCCGGACATATTGTGGATATTTTTGATTTATTATTATTATTCTCATATTTTTTCATCTTCAAGGAGTGTTTGTTGTTCATTTGATATGATCCCGTCCTTCATCTGGTTTTCCGACACGGATCTTTTGTTTTTGTAAAAGCTCACGCCTGGAAAAACACACACAGAGCTTTGAATAAAGGAAGTGGCGTCCACACCAGCAGGAGGGACGTTCTAGATCAAAGTCCTGCTCCACCTGTTTGTCCACCATAAAGATATCAGGTAAAGGTTACTGCGGAACATCTGCCACGGCTAACTCCAATCAACCAAAGTAAAACGTTACAGACAGCCACCAGGGGGCGACCATGTCGGGGTTGAATCGTAGTTCTTGGTGTAGAGCGGGTTTCTAACGTCAGTAAAATCCAGTCTACACTGGGTTAAAAACCTGCAGGAACACTACTGGAGGAATACGGGGGTGGTCGGTTAGGCCTCTTGCCTTACAGCAGGAAGGTCACGGGTTAGATCCTTCTGTTTGGAGTTCTTATGTTCTCCCTTGTGTGTGATTGGGGATTTGGTTACTGGTTCACAGGTGTAAGCCCACCCTCACCTGTGGACTGCTGTGATTGGCTCCAGGTCCTCCATGACCTTGAAGGAGAAGCAGTAGTAAAAGATGAAGACTGAAGGACACAGTGAGGGACTGACCAGTCTGAAACTGACCACACACTAACAACAGTACCAGTGACTGGACGTTTGTACCACAGTAGTAGAACCACGAGGGTCACGAGGGCCTCACAAATGAGTACCAGTATATTCAAGGGTTCAAGGATTTTATTGTCAAAATAAAAATGGAAAACATGAACTGGTCTGACCTGGACTGGACTGGAGTGAAAAAGAAACTTTCTTAAATTGTAGCTAATAAACAGTAGAGATTTTAAAAAGCACAAACTGAGAATCAGGTCAAGAGTCGACAAAAGTGTGCTGACGTTGACGTGTGGGTCGTGCCAAAAACATTCTATTGAGAAAGTACCAGGAACTATGTACATTCTCAACGGAGCCTAAAATGAGAATCGGTACTAGAATCTGTCTGCGTTTCAGTTGGAGTTGGGGCAGCGGTGCTGACATTAATGGAGTCCTCGACCTCCTTTAAGTCGGTTCTGAATCTCCGAAAACCCTGATGAAGAACCGATAACAGGGTCAGTGTGGACGGAGGTTTGAAAATAAAAGGTTGGACGATGTGGACTCTGTCCGTCCCTGTCTCTCGCTGTCACATGACCTCAGACAGAGGTCTCTTTATTCCCCTCCATCACTGAGCTCTTTCTTTATTGATCAGCTGATCGCAGCCTGTCACCAGATCAGCAGCACTGGTGTGTGTGTGTGTGTGTGTGTGTGTGTGTGTGTTCACGCCGTGAACCAGTGGATGAGGGTGAACGGACGACGGGGAGTCGTGTTCGTTTTCCTTTTGTTTTTCTTTTTCTTTTATACAACAATGAAACAAACGTGATGCTCACCAACGCCCCCCTGTGGTGCCGGCGGAGTATGTTCTAGAAGTTATACAACAATGAAACAAACGTGATGCCCCGAGGTCACCAGCGCCCCCTGTGGTGCCCGCAGAGTATGTTCTAGAAATCAAACTGGTCAACAAGAGGGTCAGAAATTGTACCGTGTTACTGTGCTTTTTGAATCAGTTCCACTTGATGTTGATGTTGGAATGACGATGGTGAGAAGTGTCTGTTACCGTCTGTCCCCGCACTGATTATTATTACATGGTTGGGGGGGGGGGCAGTATTAAACAAGTAGCTCTTCATACTTACTTACTAAGTGTCCTTGAAGTAGCTCTGAGTTTCAAAAAGGTCGGTGACCCCTACTCTGTCATCACAGTAGAACAGTTCATTCCTCGTTGACATTTGACCCCTTATTGATCTTCACACTTTTTGGTCCACTGGGTGTCACCTGGTCCAGGTCTGTGGTAGATCATGGACCAGATGATGTTGGGGTCCAGACCCCGTGGACACTGATCAGTTCTCACTGGTCCATGTGATAATTAATTTAAACTCACTGCAGAGTATTTTCTTCCAGACGACATCATCTGATTGGCCGACAACATCTGAAACACGTTTTTGAGTTTTGTCGATTTTGACCAGTTCTCCAACAGCACTGAGTAAAATGTCAGTGTATCTGCAGACAAACGGCTGGGTGAAAAGTTTCCCAGTTTTGAAAAAAAAAACCAAACTAAATATTCATGGCTTGTTAGCGGTTGGTTCCATAGTGTAGCGGTTAGCACGCCTGCCTCGGAAGGTTTGATTCCCAGAGGAACCACATATTTGGCCCCCTGCCAGGGGCAGCACATCTGGCACAGCTGTTAACACAAGAATTTGCCAAACATGGGATTGATAAAGTTTGAGTTATTATTATCATTAATTAAGCGTGACCGGATTTGACGTCATTTGCAACAAAAAAAAGTGAAGTGTGAGTGTGATGATTTGACGTCATTTGCAACAAAAAAAAAGTGAAGTGTGAGTGTCCAGAGTGAGTAATTCTGAAACATTTCCCACAAACTCAGAGGTTTTTCTTCAAAATAAAGTGCTGGATGTCTGGAATGACGTCGAGCACTAAATGAAAATGGATTTGTTACTTTGTCACCTGACAACTGAGCGCTCCTCGAGGGTTAGCTCGCAATGTTGCATGCTAACGTAGCATGACAACTTGAAACAGCTGCTGCAGCGCTACGTCTGGTGTCCTGTTGTTAGCCTCTGAGCTGGGTGTGAACAACACACACACACACACACAGTCATTGTGGTCAGTCACTGTTCCTCAAACAGAGTTGGATTTTTCTGTGCTGAATCTGGACACAGTTGGGTGGAGCGAGCCCATGATTGAGCCAACTGCAAACAGACGTTGACAACGGCCAATGGGAAAGAGAGGCCGGGACACAGGAAGTTGTCTCAGAGTTTGATGTCTTCACTTGTCCTCAGTTGTCCTCCCCTGACCAGTCTCTCAGTGGTCGTTGGTCTGGACTCCTGGTCTTCGAGGACACCCGGGCGGTTAGGACACTGTGCTGCAGAGACCTGACGTGGAGGTTCTACTCAGTAAACAGGCGGGGTGACATCAGTACGGGCGTGAAATATGAGACAAAAACCACTGTGCTGGTTTCCAGTGTGGCGCCACCTACAGAGAGACGTCTGAGCACGTCTTAGTTCCTGAAGAGCAGACGTGTTCCAGGGTAAACCCTAAGAACAGGGCTGTCGGGGAGAGAGGCCGCTGGGAAACACAAATGATTGGATTTTATGGGTGAAAAACCAACCTTCGATGTATTTTAGGAGTTGCGGTTCCCAACAAACACACACACACACACACTCATCTGCAGGCCTCCACTTCCTGCCCCTCCCTGTTCAAAGCAGAACTCTGAAAGGGGAAGTTGAACAGAAACAGACTCTTCTGGAAAACAAACCTGAGAGAAAGGATTAAAAATGAACTCCAGATTAAATTAATCCAGGATCATTACAGATGCTTTATTTTATTCTTGGAGGCCTGTGTTCGCTGCTTCAGTTCCCTTTTTAGACAGACGCCCCCTACAGGAAGCTGAAATCTCTAAACCATGATATATATATATATAAATGTTTATAAAATACTAAGTTAATTTAGAATAAACACCACACATGGCAACAATAATTCCCCACTAATCTATTAATCTTGTTACATCCACTGTTCGGGTTTCCCATATTTATTGACAGTGTTTACGTTCATGTTTTTTCAGTCATTATTTATTACATTGGTTTCCCATATTTATTGACAGTGTTTACGTTCATGTTTTTGTTGTTGTTGTGTGAGAGTCATTATTTATTACGTTTGTGTGTGTGTGTGTTTGTACAGAAAAAGGAGAAGGAGCGACTGAAGGAGAGGGAGAAGGAGGCCAGAGAGAGAGAGGCTCGCTCCAGTAATGGTCACCTGTTCACGTCGCTGACCGTCTCGTCCACAACATTGTGTTCGTCCTGTAACAGGAGCATCACAGCAAAGGAGGCACTGAGCTGTCCAGGTATCACACCGCAGTGCACACTCTGACCACACGGAGCACCGAACAGGGTCATTTCCATATGGAGACAATCGACCGTCAGAACAGACTTTTCATCTCAGTGAAAACGTTGTGTTTCGACTTGATATTGATTATTAGATTCACTGCAGCACACTTTAAAAAAAAATGCAAATATTTTTATCCAAAGCAACGTCAGTGAGGAGGATTATATACTATTCCACTGGGGTTCAAACCCAGGACCTTCTGTGTGTAAAGCTGACGTGACAACCGCTACATTTCTGTCTCTGTTGATTCATTTCATTTCTGTTGACAGAACATTAGAACAGTGTTTCTAAAAATGACTGAAAACTGTCATCAGGCTATGTCTTAGCTGCTGTGAGGCTAACCTTTAGCTCCTTCTCTCTCCCTCTGTCCCTCTGTCCCCCTCTGTCCCTCTGTCCCTCTGTCCTCCTCTGTCCCTCTTCTCTCAGGTTGTAATGTCACCATCCATAACCGCTGCAGAGACAGTCTGGCCAGCTGTGCTAAGATGAAGCAGAAGGTGAGACCTGCTCACCTACAGATTACAAGAACCCACTGTCACCCCCTGGTGGCTGAGAAGTAGTACTGCTGCTCCCTGAGAGTGTCTAAAGTAGAAACATACATGCATACCTTAGACAGGAGCTTTCTGCTTTCACCGCTGCCTCGTCAGACTTTACTAACAGTAAAACATCATGGTCCAAACCGTCTTCTCTGTCTTCTCTGGTCTGTCCTCGGAGGACCCGTCTGTCCTCTGAGGACCCGTCTATCCTTACAGTGAACACGTCTGTCTCTTTTTACAGCAACACAAGTTGGCAATAGTCAGGAACAGTTCAGCTCTGCAGAACGTCACCATGAGGGCAAAGAGTGAGTCCACCTGTCCGTCTCTCAGCTACCGTTAGGTCTCTCACTCCGTGTCCATCTGTCCCTCAACTGTCCCTCTCTCTCTCTCTCTCTCTTTCACCTCCCTCAGCTCCGATGATGAAGGAACGCCCAAATTCAGCCATCTATCCCTCTGATCTTCGTCAGTCACTGCTCGGGTCCAGACGGGTTCGTTCTGGGTTGTCACTCGCCAAGAGCGTCTCCACCAATAACATCGCAGGGTGAGTGTGATGCTGCAGTCACGTCCTCTGAGTCTGTCTTAGCTGAACCCTGTGTTGTCCTTCTCTCTGTAATCATCCTTTATACCAGTCTGTCCCTCACTGATCCGTCCAACTGTCCGTCTGTTTGTCTGTCTCTCAGAGGGACTGAGGAATCTGGAGGTCTTCGGAGGATCCTGTCTCACTCCACAGAGTCCTTGAACTTCAGGAACAGAACTTTGTCCATGGAGTCTCTGACTGACGACGGTTTGTTGTTTTTTTTTACCTCAGATGAAAATCATTCATCATTACAGTGTGGTTCCTTCCTGCTCCAGCAGGTGGCACTGTGTAAACCTGTTATTTTCTGTCTAACCAGTGGAGTGGTGGTGGAACCCCCTGCTGGAGCAGCTGCAGGCCGAGGGCGTGTGCGTCCAGGCGGACAGCTGGAGCATGGCGGTGGATCCCAACTTCCTGCAGACGCTGCACAAAGACGTGATCCGGCAGCAGGACGTCATCTACGGTGACCTCTCTGACCCCCCCGACCCCCGTGACCCACTAACTCCAGCAGTGCCGACAGACCCGGTGACGTTGTTTTCTGTTCCCCGGTTTCTCAGAGCTCATCCAAACAGAGTTCCATCACGTGCGGACGCTGCGAATCATGGAGGGCGTGTACCGGCGCGGGCTGCAGGAAGAAGTGATGCTGGAGGCGGGCGTTGTCCATAGCATGTTCCCGTGTTTGGACCAGTTGCTGGAGCTTCACACCAACTTCCTGTCTCAGCTGTTGACCCGCAGAAAAGAGGGTCTGGCCGAGGGCAGCTCCAACAACTTCACAGTTCGTAGTATTGGAGACCTGCTGGTCAGACAGGTATGACATCACCGGGAGTCTGCGGCTCATGGCTAGTCATGAACTGGGAGTGGTGAGGTTTTAATAATGTGTGTGTGTGTAGTTCTCAGGTCAGTGTGCGGAGGACATGAAGAAGCTGTACTCTGAGTTCTGCAGTCGACATCCTAAAGCTGTGAAACTCTACAAAGAAGTCTTAGCTCGAGACCGACGGCTGCAGCAGCTCATCAGGGTAAGAAACCGATCCCAGACTGAGACCAGATCCTGGACCTGTAACGCTGTCTCCATGTGTTGTTTTTAAATTCATTTTTAATACATTATTTTTTTTCTTTTCCCACGATGCTCAGCGTGTCTGTCGAGGGCCTTTGCTGCGTCGTCACGGCGTTCAGGAGTGTATCCTGCTGGTGACACAACGGATCACAAAGTATCCAGTTCTGATCCAGCGGATCCTGGACAACACCAAAGGTACAGTCTCCATTATCAAGTCAGTTCTGCAGATGTAGTACAGCAGTGTTGCCTGTAGGTGGAGACAGGACTAAAGTCTTTTCTGTCTTTTCCTAAAAAAAACCTGAATCTTAAATGTTCTTAACATGATGGTAGAACATGAGCCGTGATGGACCTCAGTTACTCAAACCTGTCAGCAGGTTCTGTCGGTTCAGTCTGACAGAAAGGTAGAGGTTTGTCAGCGAGAACATCATCTTCACCTGGTCCTTCTGTCTGAGAAATAAAGTTTCTTGTTAGTAAGTTTAGATTTTTGATGAAATGAAAACTCTGCTGAGCTTCACTGCTGACACCTGCTGGATCTTCTAGGTAACGAACAGGAGTCGCAGGCTCTCCGCAAAGCACTGCAGCTGCTGAAAGATCTGATCGGCTCCGTGGATCAGAAGGTTCTGGAACTGGACAGAGCCCGCCGACTCCAGGAGATCCAGGCTCGTCTGGATCCTCGAGCTCAGGCGGAAGTTCAGGGAGGAGGAGTGTTCAGAGGAGGAGAGCTGCTGCGGCGGAGGCTCGTGGACGAAGGGCCGCTCCTCTGGAAGGTTCAGGGTTCGAGGATGAAAGGTAGACTGACGTCTGTGTCGGCCGCTCAGGTCTTCACGTGTTCCTCTGGTCACCGCTTCACCTCAACTCTTCTCCTGTTTGTGTTCCAGACGTCCAGGTCCTGCTGATGTCAGACATCCTGGTTTTCCTTCAGGAAAAAGATCAGAAGTACACGTTCGCATCACTGGTGAGTCACAGCCAATCACAGCCGTTCATCAGTGATCAGAGGCCGAGGCCACGCCTCCTCCTGCCTCCACACATCCAGTATGTTAACACTCCTCCTCCGCCTGTGGTTCTGTGGCAGGACAAGTCTCCCGTGGTCTCACTGACCAACCTGATCGTCAGGGACATAGCCAATCAGGAGAGAGGGATGTACCTGATCAGTGCGGCCACTCCTCCAGTAATGTACGAGCTGTACGCATCCACCAAGGACGACCGACGCAGCTGGATGACCCGCATCCAGAAGGCTGCTCTCAGGTCAGTACTGCAGACTGTGGACAATACTGTAGTACAGTGTAGTACAGAGTGTAGTACAGAGTGTAGTTCACTGTGTAACAGCTGTGTTCCTGTGTTCCAGTTGTCCGTCCAGAGATGAGTTTCCTCTCATTGAGACTGAAGATAAAGCTTTACTACGACGACTCAGAGGTACTGCACCTCCTTCAGCTGCACCTCCTTCAGCTGCACCTCCTTCAGCTGCACCTCCTTCAGCTGCACCTCCTTCTTTTGTCTCCTTCAAAACTCACTGCACCATATACTGTTTGTTCTGTTTAAATTCACTGTGTTTTTCTTCCCTCCTCTTCCGTCTCCTTTCTCTCTCAGCTGACATCCAGCAGAAGGACAGGGAGGTGCTGGAGCTCCTGCAGGAGCGTGTAACTCTCTTCTCAGACCTGGTGGAGGCGACAGGAAGAGAGGAAGCGGAGGAGGAGGAAGAAGGAGGAGGAGGAGGAGGAGAAACCAAGGAGGTGAACGCCTCCTTGAGGAACCTGTTCAGAGCCGACACTCCTCACGCTCCTCAGGCAGAGCCCATCCTGGTCGCCGCTATAGCTGAGGGTGAGACCAATGAGGATGACGTTAAATAAGTGTTGATGATGTCATCAATGACATCACTGATCCATTCTCCTGTTCCCTCCTCAGTGGACAGTCTGACGGAGCTGCTCCTCAACAACAAACCAACTGTAACCAACAACAACCAGGAGCTCAGCAGTGAGTCAGCACCGATCACCTGATCAATCAGTTTATCTATTGATTAGTGATCATTAGGCCATGACTGATGATCAATGTGCCAGTGATTTAATAATTTCACTCTTACGGCTTCATGGTCCATTGATTGATTTATGGATCGATTGATTCTTTACAGATGGAGACTCTGGTTCTCTGAACGGCTCCTTTGACTCAAAGGTAAAATAAACGTTTTCGGTTTGGTTTAACGATCAAACTGCGGTGGTGTTGGTGTGACTCCGTCTCATGAAGAAAAATGTTTTTTTTTTCCTCAGGACAAAAATGGAAATCAGCTGCAAGAAAAAATCTTAAACAAGGTAAATTTAAAAAAAGTCTCAGCTGTGGGTATTGTTTTTATGTCCAATCGTATAAAAGTTTAGCCGCTGACACCTCCCCTCTCAACAGGAAGTCCGTCAGCGATTGGTCGACCTGAGCGCCAAGCTTCACAGCCTGCTGGTGAATTTTATTTCCTTTTTAACTTTTACACATTAGTGTTTTCTTATAACAAGACGTTGAAGTGGCTCACTGGCTCCACCCACAGGCTGCTGTGATTCGTCAGGACTCCATCCTGGAGTCATTCAGCTCAGCCCCCACCCCCACGAGTGAAGGCCCCGTCCCTGGTTCTCAATCTGGGCCCCGTTTCAGCCGCTCTATGTCACGAGACACAGGATTGGACGCCAGTGGGGATGTGGTGTTACAGCGCCATCAGGTGGATGACCTGCAGGAGCAGGTGAAGCAGCTGCGCCTTAAGGGTTCAGGACCTGACAGGAAGGAGGTGGAGCAGAGCGGCAGGAGGAGGAGTAATGGAGAGGTGGGTGCATTTCTGTGTCCTCCCAGCAGAGATTTATTTTAAATCTTTTGGATATTTTTATTATTTGATAAATGGAGATCAGTAACATTTTTTTGGTGGAATCCTGAAACTGATCTAAAGATAATCCTGGTTTTTATCCTCTCATTAGGTTAAGAGGCGTGGCAGCAAGGAACTAGAGCTCCGCCCACTTGCTCCATTGGCCAGTCAGGAACCAGATGACCAGTTGGACGGACTCCTGGAGGGAAATGAAGAGGGAGTGGAGGTGATGAAGGTCTCGCCACGCTCAGACAGTCCCAGAGGTGAGAATGAAATCAGCTCAGCCAGGATTTAATGCTTTAAAAACAAACATCTAACCAGCATCGAACCTCTGACCCCAGACCTGCAGGACATTCCTGAAGAGAGCGAATGCGGAACCGAACCAAGCTAACGCCGCTCCGTCAGTGCCCAACCTCAGGAACGTCACGGTGACGTCACCTGGGAACCCTTTTATTTCAGCTGTTTTTGTTGTTGTTTGTTTTTTTTATTGTTGCTGTATAAAACCATGTTTACATCATCACATCAGCTGGAGCCTCAACCGCATCTGGTGGAGTGGGAGGGGCTACATTAAAACTGGGGGGGTCCTACAGTTGTTTCAGTGTGGTCCAGATAAACAGTCAGAGACGCTGTCCTCTCTCTCTCTCTGTCCCACTGGACACTTTGAGTCTCTAGGTTTGTGAGTCTTTGTCTGATAGAATAACTTATTCCAATTTTTGACAATATATCAGTCTTGATTTTAAATTGTTCTTATTTCTACATTCGACAGACACCAAGATTAAATCAAGTCTTCAAGTCTTTCTCCATGTTTTAGTCTTTTAGTCATTTTGAGTCTCTGTTCTGAGCCTTTGTTTGTAGGACTGTGAGTCTGTGTCTCTGAGGTTCTTGGCCTGTCAGTCTTTGTTGGCACTAAAGCCTTTTGAACCTTTTTTTCTCTCTGTTTTAATCTTTGAGTTTTGACTGAGTCTTTTGTGTCCAAGCCTCTGTTTCATTTGTTTTAAGACCTGTGACTCTTTTGTTGCCTGACTCTGAAGATTTGAGTCTTTCACTTTTTGCTGCCTACAAATCTAAATCTCAAAACTACTGCCTGAACGTTTGACTCTGCTGCCTGAGTCTGTACGGTTTTAAAGTCTCTGACTCTACTAGCCTCTGAATCGGTGAGGTTTTGATTCTGTTCATGTTTTCCTGCCTCAGACTGAAACTTGTACCTGACACTACATTACCCAAAATGCACCTGAATTCCGTGGGTCAGTAAATTTACAGATGTAAATTGTGTATCAATGTGACATAAACTAAAGGTGACACAAAAGACAGGGTGTATGCTATTTTAGTTAGTCTTTTTATAAGATGAACCAAAAACATTTGTGTTTATTTTTAATTAAACCTCAGAGTTTTTCTCAAGCTGAACTGAACACAGATTTCTGTTGGGTGATGCATCAGGTAAACCTGAACCTAAACCTTGACTGGAGGGGTTGGAATGGGAGGGATACAGGGGAGCGGGGGCTGGGGGGTTACACGATGCTGTCAATACATATCCAAAAAAAAAAGAGTTTTTTTTATTATTATCTGACTGAAGCTTGACGTTTAAAGCCTCCTATCTGTTAGCATGTTAGCATGTTTACTGATTGTTGCTGTAGTTGTTGATCATGTTCCTGTAATCGGTTCCTGATGGGACCCATTCTGAAGGAGAACTACTTGATGAATCTAGACCATGACCACGGCCACCTGCTGTTTGTGCATCGTGCGACGGACCTGCAGGTGGTGCTGATACTTTTACTGTCTTTGATTTCTTTTTATTTGTGTTTCCGATGTTGAACTGATGTTTGTTGTAAAAAGATTTGATGATAAGTGTAAATGATCTTTTCATGCTTTGATTCTGTGTATGTTTGCTGGAAAACATTTCATTTTTTATTTATCTATAAACTGTTTATAAACACCTTCAATAATAATCATTTTCTGTATAAACATAATAAATAAAAGATGTCTGTATATATACCATTTTTCTCATCCATGACTGATTTTTACATCGTCTCGTTTGTACTTAGATATACTGTATAATTTTTTTATAGTTTTTGTTTATATCTTGATCATTTCGTGGCGTTATTTCCTGGTATTTTATTGTGAAAGTGCTAATTTGTGGTCTTTATTTGATTCTTCGTTTCAATCAACAAAATATTTTTTCATTTAGTTTCTCATCCTAGCTGTGAAACAAGTTAAAACAGATTTTAAATGTTAATATTTTGGACATTCACCATTAAATGATTTAAAATATAATTTGTTGATGTCATCTTATACAATTAGTTTTATGTAGTTTATTTTTAATTGCTAATTTTCATTGCGATCTGAAGTCTTATTTTGATGGTCTTTTATGTTCACAAAACCTACATATTATTAACTTTCATTTTTATCTATTTTTTTCGCAGTCTTGGCTTTTGCATGAAATAGTTTCGTGTGTAGAAAAATATGTGAGAGTTTTTTGTTTTTTACAGTAAATGCGTGTCGTGGCCGTCTTTTACTTTGAGAATCCTCCATTTTGTTGTTCACTTCCTATGGAGGGAATTTAACCCGGAAAGGGCAGTTATCTAGAGTTGGGAGCAGCAGTTGGGAGTTGGCTCTGTCCGGAAGCAGTCGAGATTAAGTGGAACCGAATCTTAATCTAAAGTAAAACCAGGTTCGTAACACTCAGACCGGGAGTCCATACGTCTTCTCGGCATCTAAGAAGGTACAAAAACTTTACGTTCTACATTAAAAAAAAAGTAAAGTACTTGTGACAGCTCCCTGTTAGCCGCCCACAGCTATGGTTACCCAACCGGAAGCGAGCGGTTAGCTCCGCAGGTGTTATACTTGAGGAGAGCTGCGCAGGTGAGAAGATCTCAAAGGTAACTCTGAGGGCTGCTAACATGCTAACCGGGCGGTGGTACGATTTTAGCTCAACTTCAAAGGTATCAGTCTGGTGGGTGACATTATTTAAAAACATGGCTGATTTGTACAATCTTAACATCGGTTCAAATATAGCTTACTGATAAGTTACTGTTTTTAGTTCAACACAAAAAAAAGAAACGTTGTGAGTGAAAATTGCTTTTATTTATAATTTTGTCGTTTACGTTGGGTCTTTCCTTTTGTGCCGATTCACCCCGGAAGTTGATCAAAGCTGGAAGTAGCAACTTTTACATGTTTGTTTAGTGTTCAATATTGCGGGACCATCATTGGTGAACTGGACAGTTATTTCTGAAGTACATGCCTCGGTAGTTCGTTGTTCTAAACCTAACCCAATTTTCAGAGCGAGATATGCGAGATATCCATACAGTATGTGTGGGTAAAACGTCGTTTAAAAGAGAAACTAACGCACAGGTAAAAAAAAACAAGAAATACAAATGAGCATTTCACTCAAATAATTGATATAGCGTTATTTTAGTGTTTAAATCTACCACGGTTGTAAAACTTGTTTATATATATCTGTGTATCCCCAAATAGTTACATTGAGGGCAACTGAACCGAGTGTGTGTGTGTCAAACACACACACATATATATATTTTTTTTTTTTAATTATTTTTTCCTAATCAAATCAGTATCAAACATAATTTCTGCCCATTTTGGAAATATGGTGACTTGATACAGTTTACACTCCTCGGTATATATTTAGGATGCTTTTATTACAATTCTGAACATTAAAATGCACATTTTTGTCCACTGATGCTCACCTGTTTATGATTAGTTAATGTGGTCTCTTTAATGGTTAAAAATGTTTTTTCTTTATCTAAAGGCTAATAAAGTTTGAGTAATACTCCCTCTGCTGGTTTATTCTGTTCAGAAAAAGAAAAGAACAACATGGAGGCCGTGAAGAAGAAGATGAACACCCTGCGTGAGCAGGCGGAAAAGGCCAAGGAGAGGGAGGACCAGCTGTTCAGGGAGGTGAGCGAGGAGAAGAAAAGCAGAGAGCAGGTGAGAAATTGATTTTAAAAAAATGATGTTTGAGCATATTCAAATAGAATATTCCAGCAAGTCTCCATCTCCGGATGTGGTCGTTGTGTGTTTGTTGGTGCAGGCGGAGCAGGAGATGTCGGCTCTGACCCGCCGTCTACAGTCAAGTGAGGATGAACTGGACACAGTTCAGGAGAGACTGGAGACTGTGTTACAGAAGCTGAACGAGGTGCAGAGAGTGGCCGACGAGAGCGAGAGGTCAGAGCGGTGCTCTTCACCTGTCTGTCTGTCTGTCTCTGACATGTCCGTCTGTCTCTGACCTGTCTGTCTGTCTCTCACAGAGGGAAGAAAGTCATAGAGAATCGATCCATGAAAGACGAGGAAAAGTTTGAGGTTCTTGACGTTCAAGTGAAAGAAGCAAAAAAGATTGCAGAGGAGGCTGACCAGAAATATGAAGAGGTAAACACACACACACACACACACGGTAGGGAAATTATTTAACCGGATTGAACAATGTGTGAAACCCTACAGGTCTGATTTGTAGGTAAATGTTATTGTCAAGGTACTCGTACACACGTCTGCCTCATAAGTCCTCTGCCTTTAATTTAATTTGCATCTTGTTTTGGTCTGTGACCACAGGCCACTCGTAGGGTGGCCATGGCAGAAGACAAGCTGGAACAAGCTGAAATTCGAGCAGAGCAGGCTGAGAAGTGAGTGTGAGACTTGCCATACAAACACATACACCAACACACACGCCCTCCCTTACACACCTCTGCTATCTTACTGGACAGTTGGAGACTAACGACCACGGTGGGATGTTGCATTTTTTTCTTTTTTCTAACTTCTAACAGTCTTGTAGTCTTTGTAAATCTTGTCTTCATGTCTGTCTCTGCACCACCCGTCTGTCTCTGGACCACCTGTCTGTCTCTGCAACACCTGTCCGTCTGTGGACCATCTGTCCGTCTGTGGACCACCCGTCTGTCTCTCTTTCGTCTTCAGCACTGTGGGGAGGTTGGAGGAGCAGTTGAGATCTTTTGACCAATCTCTGAAGAGCTTCCAGGCAGCTGAAGACAAGGTACAGTACGACTGCTGACAGCCAAGCGTGGCTCCTCCTCCACCTCCTCCTCCTGACCTCCAGAGAGCTTTAGTGTTGAGGTGTCTCTTCAGCTCCTCCTCCTACTTCTTCTGCTGCAGCAGCAACTTCATGACAAACGCACTCCAACACAAACGCACACACGCAATTCAGGTGACAGAATCGCACCGCTGACCTCTGTCCCCTCTGACCTTTGATCTGCAGTAAGTGTCGGCTGTTGGAGGAGGAACTGAGAACAATTTTCTCTGGTTCAAAGTCTCTGGAGGCCCAGGCTGACAAGGTAGGAGGCAAGACTTCCTTGTTGACCAATAGGAGGTGTGGCCTAGGGAGGTCTTCAAGATCAAAAGATGGTTTTTCCTAATGCTGTCAGAATTACACTGACCGCCATCAGAACCAGATGTTCTACAGTCAGAACGGTCCCTTTGAGATTGTCTTTTTATGTCTTAGTCATAATTTGTCTTGAGTAATTTGATTAGAGCTGACAAACGTCAGCTGACTAAAATCACTTATTTTAGTTTTAGTGCACTCCCAGTGAACATATGAAGCGTGCGACTGTGTATTTAAAAATCTGTTTTTACCCGTGTGTTCTGTCTCTGTCTGCATCAGTATTCTCAGAAGGAAGACAGGTATGAGGACGAGATAGCGAAACTGAGCGGCAAACTCGAGGAGGTGAGACAGGGTTGACTACACTATTTTGTCTTATACATTTGCTCATAACTGTCCCTCAGATGCCCATCTGTCCTTCTGACTATACACATCTGCACTTGTGTCTCTATATCCAGGCTGAGAGCAGAGCAGACCATTCTGAGCGCTTGGTTTCTAAACTGGAGAAAAGCATTGAGGTCATAGAAGGTACGACGTCACAGTAAAGGCAGAGCTGTGTGTTTGTTCTGACCGAGTCACGTCACCCTGAGTGTTTTTGGTTTCTTGTTCCTCAGACCAACTGGCAGCCGCCAAAGCAGACAACATTCGGCTGGAGGAGACTCTGCGTCAGACGATGGAGGAGCTGAGTGCCTTCTGAAAACTCGTGCCGACGCCCGTCGTTGCTCCCTCAGTGACAGCGCCTCCTTCTACTGCTGCTAAGCTAAAGCTAATGCTGACCTAAATGGACAAGTCAAAACGCGTCTCTGTCCTCCTGCGCTCCTCACTAACTCACCTTCCTCTTGTGCACATTCCTTTCTCTGAACATTCCACAAGATTGCATGTACTCTTTACTTCCCCCTACAGTCCTCCCTCAATATTACACCAGGAGGTGCTGGGTATTCTTTTTTTTAAATGTTGGTGACCAAACATTAATTCCTTCACTAATGGCTAAACAATGCACTAATCCAAGGTTTATTTTAGTCTTTTTCTAATCTATTAAGTTTCCCAATATTTGATTAAGCCAAACCCCTTTATTAGCCAATGACTAACTTTTGTTCTGAGGGGCGTGGTGTTGGGCAGCCAGTCAGAACAAGGCATTCAACTATTTTTTACATGTGTATCTACAAATAAATGTTAATCCAGGGGCCAATCAGATGTCAGGGAATTACAGGTCAACGATGACCTGATGGTGATGTCAACACTGTGCTGATGATGTCACAACTCATTGTAATAAACCATGACTTCACTGCGCTAATGTTTGTTTATTTCTTTTAATGTGTTAAAAATGTTTTCCTCCATGATGAGAAAATAAGTAATCAACAGTCTGTGATGTCACTGATCAGTGACAGCGACGCTTCCTTGGCCACGTCCAGGATGGGCTGCAGCTGCAGGTCTAAGGAGGGGGCGTCAGGCTCGTTAGTGATGGTCCAATCATAGACGATGTTGCTGTCCAATCCACACTCAGACTCTGCATCGTCCACACCTTCGACAGAGAGATGGTGATGAGCAGTGCATGTTAACTGTATTTGTACCAGATTTATTTAAAGAAGTGACAGATGTTTAGCTCCAGTGAAGTGTTACCTGCAGTGAACCTCCAGCCTCTCTTTGCCCTGGTTGCCTCTGAACTTTGAACTCTGACACATCGCGTCTGACGAGGAAACTTTGAGCGGAACCAGTTAACGTCTGACATCCTCCGAGCGTCACTTATCACCTGACAAAGTACACCACAGCATTAACTGATGATCCACCAATTCAGGGCTGTGATGTCATAGCTTCTTACCCAGACTGGTTGCTTTGCACCTTGAATTGCGAGGCGACAGAAGAATCCTGGGTCCTGCTGTCGACGTGTCTCCCCCCACAAGATCATGTCTTTGCGGTAATGCTCCTTATACGGTCCGGGACCCAGCAGTTGGTCCAGGTCCAGACTGTGTTCCTGTAGAGAAATCACCATTAGAGATCTGACTACACAGTGATGTCAGCGATGAGTCTGTAGACTGACCTGAGCGTACTGGTCTTTAAGTGGTCCAGACAAACGCAGGATCACACAGATGTCTCTGCTTAAACTGTAGAGGAAGAAAAAAAAAAGGTGGTCTTTAAATTTGGAGCACAGATACAGAAGACAATTTATCGTCACTCATTTTCATTCATGACTGTAGTCACTGAAGCCTGTAGAGGGTGCTGTTGTCTATAGAGGTCGTGTCTGTCAACTGTCAAATAATACTTTTATCCCCCTCACATTATCTTAACAGTCACTATGAGAAAAGTATTGCAAAAAATATTAAATATTAAGTAAAACAAAATACTAAATAACATTCGTAATGATAACTGTTTATAATGTGTATTTGTAGTTATAAGTTTTGGGGTATTATGTTGTATTCTGCTGTTTATATTGTGTTCCACTGAAAGGCGCCAACTCTGTAATGACGATAATAAATCACGTCATCACCTGTCGTCAGAGGGAAGAATAAAGGCGAAAAAGAAGAGACTAACGATTAAAAGTGATCCATACTCGTAGTAAACTCACCGCTGCTGGATCAAGTCCGTCACATAATCCTTCCCAGACTTCCGTTTTCCACTGAAGACCAGAACTAGTTTGGGTTCACACACTGGTGATGACTCCATGTGGTACCAAGCAGGTGATCGATCACAGCCTCCAGCTTCGAATCCCGTAACCGGTGATAAACTACTGCTCTAACCCGATCTAAGCCATGAAAACCGGAAGTTCCTGAGAAGAGCGTGGACCCCTCAGACCTAACCCGTGCTCCACATAACTTAATTCTGTTGAAGGGTCGGTTCCCCGGGACCAGGACTCACACGGTGGGGTTAAAAAAAACGAGTCGACTCTGTGTGGTTCAGTATGTTGACATTTTTTTGTGACGTAGTGGCGTGTTAGACGCACCACTGTACCACGTGGTCATCGCCACACTCTGGACTGAACCATGTTGAGGGACATGGGGGTGGCTACCAAGCGTCATTGAGAACGAACGATAAAATGTATTTATTTCGTATCCATTCCAGTTTAGCGTTTTTAGGGTCAGCTTTAAACATTCACAAAAGTCACAGACTACCATCCACACTTCAATTAATTCCTCGTTTTCTACGCTGTGTTAGGAATGGGAAGAACTCCGTACAGAAAGCAGTTATTCGTTTTTGACGAGTGAAACACACATCAGTGGCCTGAACTGTTTGTGGAGTGGCTCCACTTACAGTTGCTGGTGACGTCGGTACCGCCTACCCCTGCAGAGATCTTGGTAAAATTCAGGTCGGGGTGACAGATCCGGATCCAACATGGCGGCGTTTCGCAGAGGAGCGGGAGTTCTGACAGGAGTCCGTGTGAGTGACTGGTTTCTCTGTAATATTTTTAAAGGCTAAAAAACAAGCTAAGCTAATAAAAGTGACTTCAGTAGCTTTTTTTTCTGTCAGACTGAAAACAAGCTAAGCTAATAAAAGTGACTTCAGCAGCTTTTTTTACCTGTGTCAGACTGAAATTGTAATTTGAATGTAAATGTATCCACCGAGTTCTCTGTACTGAACACCCGAGGGCGCTGTTGTAGTTTTAAAAGAAAAGTAGGTGAAATGTCAAGAACCAAATTCACACAATATACAGTATATATAGCCGATGTTATATTGCGTTTAAAGTCACAATACAATACAATACAGTTTACTTTTAAAGTGAGGTTTAGTTAACCTCTAAAAAGTCGATTATTTCATCCTTTTAAATCGTTTTTTACAACTTTAACCTCTAAAAAGTCGATTATTTCATTCTTTTAAATCGTTTTTTACGACAAAAGTTTGTTGTAGTAAAACAAGACCTCAGAGTCTGTCCATGAGAGTCAAAGTATCCCTGTTTCCTCCTTCCAGTCCTGGATCCACCATTCTGCTGCTCTTCAGTCTGGTTCTGCTTCTAAGTCCACGTTCTTTGCACCAGTTGAAGATGCCATGTTGCCTCCAGGAACCTTCAAAGACCGAGTGGCCTTCATCACCGGAGGAGGCACTGGACTGGGCCGAGCCATGACCACCACCCTGTCACAGCTGGGAGCTGTGTGTGTCATCGCCAGCAGGTCAGAGGTCACTGAGATTCTGTCAACAGGAACTGGTGTTCGGGTTCAGGTTCATAACAGTCGTCTGTGTCTGTTTGTTCAGGAAGCTGGACGTTCTTCAGAAGACTGCTGAGGAGATCAGCAGCCAGACGGGGAACAAGGTATTCAACCAGATCCACAAACATAATCAGGACCAAAGCTGGGACTGAAATCTGAACCAGAGTTTGAACCAAAACCTGCCTTGTTCTGTCTTCAGGTCCACGTGGTTCAGTGTGACGTCAAAGATCCTCAGGCCGTCTCAGGCTGCGTGGACATGATGGAGAGTCTGACTGGACTTCCAGATGTAACCTACCTCCCCCCACACTGTTCTGGTGTAATCTGTGAAATAACGTGTGACATCATGCTGTCGTGTACTCTGATTGGTTTAGATCATCATCAACAACGCAGCGGGAAACTTTGTCTGTCCGTCAGAACGTCTGTCTCCAAACGGCTGGAAGAGCATCACCGACATCGTCCTGAACGGAACTGCCTACGTCACCCTGGAGCTGGGGAAGAGACTGATCCAGAACCAGAAAGGTCAAAGTCCGATCCACATCCAGACTCAGTGGGAACAAGGATGAATTTACACTCTGCTTCTTCATCTACATTTAACAGGCGCCTCCTTTCTCGCCATCACTACCATTTACGCCGAGTCCGGGTCTGGTTTCGTTGTTCCGAGTGCATCGGCCAAGGCTGGAGTGGAGGCGCTCTACAAGTCAGTCCTGAGGATTTCATCACCTCTGAGTTCTGATCCAACCGCAGCTTAATATGAACTCGAATGACTCTTTATGTTTGTCAGGTCTCTGGCTGCAGAGTGGGGGCGCTATGGCCACAGGTTCAACATCATCCAACCTGGACCAATCAGAACCAAGGTTGGTGTCTCCTTCGTTCTTCCTTGTCCTTTTTCGTCCACACGTCTCTTCATCAGCTCGTCTGTGTTGTGTTCAGGGTGCCTTCAGTCGATTGGACCCCACTGGTAGATTTGAAAAAGCCATGATTGATCGAATCCCGACAGGTCGTCTGGGCAAACCGGAGGAGGTTGCCAATCTGGCGGCGTACATTAGCAGCAACTACGCCACCTGGATGTCTGGAGCTGTAAGTTTATGCTGAGTTTTTCTCGACAGGCCAGACCCAGATCCTGGATCAGTTTGATTGTGTGATTTTTGTTTTAAGGTGATCCGTTTGGACGGAGGAGAATACGTGTCGATGGCAGGAGAGTTCAACGAGCTGCGGAGGGTGAGAGACATTCACTCACAGAACGGAACCAGAGCTGCGGAGGGTGAGAGACATTCACTGTACTACACTCACAGAACGGAACCGCAGAACCCTGCAGAACACGTTCCTGCGGTTCCTGAACTTGTGCTTGTGTGGTCGACGCTCCTCACCGTGGCTGTGGTTTCATGTGGTGTGTTTGTGTGTCAGGTGACTCCAGAAGAGTGGAAGATGATGGAGACCATGATCAGGAGCACCAAAGGATCCTGAGGTGATGTCATCGGAGCATCACAGCCAATCAGAGTGCTGCTATGGATTAACTGTGGAGAATTTGGATTTATATCAACCATTTTTTTTACTGGTGATGCTCACGATTGTCTGCACATGCTCAGTACGTATCGACCTGAATCTTCACCTGCAGCAGGTTCATGAGCCCGATGTTTTTCTAAAATAATTTAAATCACACTGCCGTCTTTTCATCTCTTTTGGCATTATACTAACACATTCCTCCGTTAGCTTCTAATGTCAATGTTTTTCATGTAATTTAAATTCTCGTATCAAAACTCTAAAGCTCAATGAGGCAACGTTTGTTTTGTAATTTTGTTTAATAACAAGCAAATATGAACTTAATATGAAGTGAATCTGATCTGAAGCCTCGAGGTGTCAAACTGATCTGTTTCACTTTTCAAATAATTCACTAAATTCTTACTTTATTACACTTTAGTTACATCACACAGTGATGTGAGAATGAATAACTTAGCTCCTGTGATAGATCATAGAAACTAGGTGTGCTTCTACCACAGCAACCAGTACCAGGAACTGAATGTGAGAACTGTAACTGTAACCATGAACAGTTCTTTTTATTGTTGTGAATATCTGGTACTCACTGACGAACACATTAAAACCAGTTGACATGATGGACGTGTGTCTGCGTTGAAGACCCTGCGTGTTTGTCAGAGCAACATTATTATAACAGTTATGACAGATCACAGCCGACACTGGTTTTACCAGTCGTTCTACTAATCCAGTTCCTCTGTGTGGATCATATCTCTCACAGCTGTGGTGTCCTCAGAAAACAGCTGATGAATCAAAGACAGGAGACACGGACGGAGGCTCAGTGTCAGATCAGGTGAAGGATTTTGATAAAACTTGAACTTGGTGACCTCGTCAGCCGAGCAACACGCAGAGCAGACGAGGAGACACACTGGCTTTCCTGGAAACTAAGTTTCCTGAAAAAAAGTTAATCCAAACAGAAGCTTTTGTTACCAAATATCAATATTTACCCCCAAAGTTTTTCAACTTAAGTCAAATTTTAGTTGAGGAAGAAATCAATAAAAAGAAAATCAATGAACAGATTTTAGTTGAGGAAGAAATCAATAAAAAAAAAATCAATGAACAAAGAACAAAAATGTGACCTGTTCATTTCTTTTTCTCTTTATGTCTATTCCAGGACTGTTGTAGCTAACGTTATATATTTTAGTGATACTGTAGACTTAGTGCAGTGATTTAAAAGAAATATACCAGGAAGTTCATTTAGAAATGTGTTGGACTCTGACCAACCAATAAAAACGTTGAATCAAGTTGTAAACTTTTGAAAACCAGTTCTTGTAGCAGTTCTGGACCCGTGCAGGGTTACCTGAGTCCTGCAGCTCCCACCCAGGTCATTTCCAGGACACTCTTAGCCAGTGTTGGCGGTTACTCAACTCCAGCCCATCTGCTTTATTTTTACTGCTGTATAAATGTCACCTGAGGTCAGTGTGTGGACTTCTGTTACCAAATTTCAACCTGCAGCAGATAAACATCCAAATCAAATCTGTCTGGATTTAAAAAAAAACCAACAAAAGAAAACAGTGATCTCAGCTCATATATTCCTGCATGGAATAAACAACATTTACATGCTGGTTATGGTTAGGTGCTGATTATACCTAACAATGTGCAACGTCTGTGCAACTGCAAGTTGCTAATTGTAACATACGTGGACATGAGTAAATAAACAATAAACAAATTCTCTTTGTAGATTGTTGGAAACTAAATAACTTTTATGTCAGTTGAGAAAATTCAGCAATTTGATATCACTGCAACACAAAGTTTAACATGTTTTGTAGCTTCAGTTTTAAAATCTTTGTTCGCATTAATGCAAACAGGCCACAGGAGGCAGTGTTGAAACAACAACAGCTATGTTAGCCATGAGCTAAAATCACTAATTTTAGCTCATGGACTTTGGTGTTTGAGAGTGAATTGTTTACAAACATCAGTTTCCTGTTAGTAATGTTTGTCTAATAAATAAAAAAAAAACTTAAATCCTAGGAATTTATTACCTGGGTGCTAATGTTACCTGACTGTTTTTCTGCTATTTTTAAGTGACAGTCTGCAGGTTTACTTTTACAGACACGTTCAAAGCTACAGGTCAGAGATATCGGATCCTAACTGCAGGAACGTGAGTGTTGTTTCCTGGTATTTTACTTAGTTAACGGTGAAACCGTTTGCACACTGTCTCTCTGACTCATACTTAAAACCACTGAGTTGTTCTTGACTCAGTGGATCTGAATGTAAACACAGCATCTACCAGAACAGACACTGAGTAACAAATACAACACAAATGGAACAGTTAAAGGTCAGCTTGATGTTTTTAGAATGTACAAAAAGGTTGTGCTGACCACACTGTGAGCACCCCCTACTGTTAGAACCAACGGGTGACATCAACGGTGGGGCTCAGTGAACCCGCAACTGTCACCATGGACACAAGGGAAAACAGACTTCAGGCACTAACGTGTTGTTTAAGTTTGTAAATAAATAACCACACTAAATCTGGACGAGGGAACGTTGACCTTAGAGATTGAGTCAGCAGTGGATCAACATCTGGTTCTCTGTGAGATAAAACCACTGATCGTCTCTATGGACTTCCCCATTTGAATAGATGTTTAACAGCAAGAATTTGAACCTGAGACAGGAGCTGAGTTTCTACAACACGGGGTCCAGACCCGAGTTGGGACCATAACAGTCCTAAAAAGGACCAGGGACCAGGTTTGACAACAGGGCCTGGAACTGTGTCATCCCTGTTCAGAGTTGCATCAGCTGAGTTTAACAGACCAGGAGGCGGGGCTTGGGCAGAGTAGCAGCTGTAGACTCCACTCATTTTACTTTAACTGCTCCTTGTCTAAAAGTCAATCCACCACCGCTAAGATCGACTCGCAGTCTTAGTCAAAGTCTCAAAAAAACAAACAAAAACAAGTTAAAGTCCAAGTTAAGTCAAGTCCCCACAGAGTCAGGGGTCAAGTCACTGAAATCTTTGAACGTCAAACCAAGTCTCTGGGGTCTAAGGTTTAAAGGTCAGGTCATTGGATTCTAAATGAGGAACCTGGTGAAGGAGGAACAAAAAAGTCCCAGTCGTTCCCAGGCTCCGTCAGTCAAAGGTCTGACCGAGTCTTAAATCTCATGGACTTTGGTGGTGGAGAATCAGACAGTCTGGTCACAGCTGCAGTGTCTTGACAGCAGTAACTGTCAAATAGCAGTGTCTTGACAGCAGTAACTGTCAAGTATCTGTTTGAGTGTGTGTGTGTGTGTTAGAGACAGAGACAGGCAGAGGTCAGTGTGTTACTGGTTCATATTCCTACATGTTTACGATGCAGATACAAACCCCGCCTCCTATACGTCTTACTGACATGACCTGTTACTGCAGCTGGGGTCAACAGCCGGTAGTCATGTGACTGACGGTACGGTTGAGGTCAGCAGGGTTATCAGTACTTGGACAGAACTGGACTGAAAACTATTTTCACCTCATTTCAGCTAATTATCTGACCAAGCTGAAGCCCTGACATCCTGTTAATGTTGAGTTCAACTTTTAGCCTCATGATGTAACTCTGCTCTACTGTAGCGACAGACCAGGGTTTGAGTCAGTTGAACCTGTAATGCAGTCAAACAGGATGTTTTTTTTTACAAACGCACAGCACACTGCTGTTTAAAATCATCCTTGGAGAAAGTCCAACAGGCCACGCCCACATGTTTACACCCCTGGATGGTGGTAGGCTTAAATAACTAGGCGACAAGAAGGAGCTCAAACACAGATTTTAAGAAGAAAAAAACATGAGACACGTTTCTCTTTTCACATTTCTTTTTCTAGATTTTCAAATCTAAAAAAAAAACAACAGCTGCAAGCCACATGGAATTGTTACTGTTTTGACATGTGGCGTGTTTTTTCCAGCTTCATCTGTTGAAACTCACGGGAAAGAAAAGTTTGTACACAACCCACTTTTCCACACAGCAGTCAATAGTTCCCAGACCAAAGAGACTGATTTTAGCTCACCGTCACAGCAGTTGTTGATCCACTTTTACCTTCTGAAATGACTGATTTTTACATGGACTTTGCTCAGTAAACATATAATTGAAACATCCCAGACTTTGACTGTTTTTTTTCCCCTGAATATAATTAGTCTTAAAAAAATGTTTACCTTGGTTTAAGTGCGTCACTGCAGTGATGTAACAGTGAGTAAAACAGCGAAGAACGTCTTATCAGTGTTATGAAGTGAAAACCTCTTTTTCTGACCTTGTTTTTATTCCACGGTGGAAAAATGTGTCGGAACAAGGTGTCACCGTGTCCACACTTTTATAACCGTGTTTTCCCACATGGAATTGTACTGTTTGTTTGTGTGTGTTTGTTACTAACTCTGGCAAAACATTAACCATTGTTGCCTGGCACTGAATTATCTTTTGGCCAAACTTAAGCCATTGTTGCTATCGCTGTGAGTGAGCCGCAGTTTGTTGTTATTTTAGGTTAGTTTAGTTCTTTGGGTTTAATATTATTATTCATTCTTTTATTATTGGCAATACTCTGTTATTTTTATTATTATTATTTTTTAATCGTGCTATGATTATTTTTGTTTTCATATGGTTAAATGTTTTACTTCTGGAAATGTACTACATATTTCATAGGTGGAGCTGCTATGTTTTTAAATTCAATATATTTTAATATTCTGAAAACTTTTGGTTTATTTTCTCTTCATTTCGTTTTTGTTATCTAATATTTTATGTACATGTCACAAATTACATAATCTAAAAAGAAAATAAAGAAAAAAATATGTAGGGCAGTAGACGTCTGAAAACAGGAAGTGTTGAGGGTCAACACGGAAGTACATCTGTAGTTTACGTAATGTCTTTATAATCTTGTTTTTTTCCCTTCTGGTCTTTGCCCAGTCATGCCCTTAAAGGAGTAAGAGTGGCTGTCACGTGGGTTAGTGATTGCCTTATTCTCCCATACTGATTGGCTACAGCTTCTTCTTTAGCCCGCCCCTGGCTGATTCGCTCTCCTCCTTACTACGTCACTTCGATCAGCTGTTGGACAACAACAACAAAGAGCAAGCAGCGAGGAGGAAACAAGCTCACACTCCCGCGTAGTTTTTACCCATTTAAGGTTGATATATATATAATTATATACGTAAATGTTTTTATTTCTTCCGTGAAGAAACCGCAGGTGTTCATGTTTTTACCAAATCTAAAATTTCTACCTCACAGTGACGGATTTTTCCTGCTGCAGGTGAGTGAGCTCTTTGTTTTCTCTGAGCTCGGACCAGGCTTTATTTTCGTGTCATAGACGGAATGGCACGAGCCCTCGCGAGTTCAGGGGCTTAATTTAATCGCTCTGATCAATAATTTTCTTCAAACTTTTTTTTTTTTAATACCACTTGTATATTTGTGGTTCGTGTTAACGTCGAATCAGCAAGAGTCGACTTACATCTTCCTTGTTGTTTTACAACAGTTAACGATCAAGCATTAGCTTTAAGTTGTAAAACAAAGAAAAAAAAAGAAAACTCGGGATTTATAAAGTGTTGACAATGTTGAACGTTGCTCCGGGGTTCTCTGCTGCGAGTGTAGAGTTACACCCTCCTCTTCTTCCCTTTGTCATTGCTCACTTTGTCTTTATCGCAGCTGTGTTCCTTTTCAAGACTCGTTAATTCACCACATTAGTGCACACAAGTTTAGCCGATTGATACATTAGTCCACATTTTACATCTACGATTTAGAATATTTTAGATAACTCTCATTTAAGGTGTAAAATGTCTAATCGATAGTTGTTTTGACCGTTTTCCAAAGCTAGTTCTGTTGCGACGCTGACTTGCTGACCTGAAGTTTCACACTGGGCTGATGGGACATTGTTATCACAGACTTGTTAATAACATAACTAACAATAACTTAAATATTATAATTCCACAGCCGTATGATAAATTGGTCTAGAGAGCATGTAAATGACGAAGTAGAATTTCGATAGGGGTTAACATTTAGCAATAAATCCATGACAGATTATTATTTATGACTTTTCTAAACGAGGTTCAGCTGCTTAAGTTACATCTCTGTAAGGTTAGCACCGTTACAGCACGGACTCGTTTTTAAGCGGGTAGAATGAAAGATTAAAAAAATGTTAATATATATATATACATACAATTTTTTTGTGTTGTAGTCATATAACTGATCGCTTTTGTTTTGTTTTTTTTTGCCATTTACCGAAGCGGGTTGTGCTGTGGTCGAAGCGTACATGTAAATTTAAAACGGCATTGCTGGGACATTTTGTTCTTACTGGGTTATTGATGGATTGTCAAGTTTAAAAAGGCAGTCGATTGGTTTAACATTATATAGACATATATTTCTATATTTGTAATCCACAGACAGAGACGGCTCTTGTTTGCTCTTCCCCTGGAGCGGGTTCGGATGCTCGAGTTACATGTGTCTAAATATTACACTTTGTTATAGAACCAGCATAAATAGGAGCCATTATACATAAAGATCTAGACCGTTTAGTTAAGAGAAAAACACGGGAGATGTTCTTCAATCGCTGTTGTTGACGTTTTTCTGTGCGACGTCGACAGTTCCATTTACATTGTTTAGCGGAATTAAATCGATTAATCGCATGAAAAATGACTAGATTAGATTTTATGAAATATCAGTTGTGATTTTAAAACTACAATTGATATCAGTGGATGGATTATTTAAAACAAAAACGTATTCTAAATGTATTCTTAGATTCGGCTGTTTTCGTGAGGTTTTTGAGGTTTTATCTTTACATTACACAAAACGCATTGGTCCAAATGGACTTAGCCGATATCTCCATTAGTTACAAAAGAAGATTAATCTTCAACCTTTTGAAGAATAATATCAATAATCGATTTTCGTGTAAAATGATCAAGAGTTCTCGCTGTCTAACCTTTTTTCTAAAGTGGCTTGGGTTGCTCGAGTTCCCGGTACTTGAACTACACGGTGTTGCGTTTACGGGTTGTTGTTCAGATGTTGCTATGGTCAACACGGTATTATGTTTTTTAAATTTAGTAAAAACTTTTGATCACCAGTCCATTTTATCCTTTGGCAGAGCTACGGACGAACAAACTCGACTCCCCCGGAATAGTCGCTTACATAACCACAAGTTATTGACTCCGAAAATAACCAGCAATAGTTTGCTTTCTAAAAATAATACGTGATATAATGTTATTGTTAAAGTGACACAACCTTTTTATTAATTATACCTTAATGGAATATATTTATTAATCATCACGAACTTGTTTAACTGACGTTCAAAACAAAAAACGTCGATTGTTTTGAATAATTACTGTTGTGATTATGACGCCCATAGTAACCGGTATTGGGTGCGTGTGTGAGTTAACGCAGACGTTAGAGGTGCAGCAAGTTATTAATAGTTAAAGGCTAATAAATCTTTCTATATAAATCGTTCGTTGGGGCAGCAAATGTCTGTCCTGTGTTTTCACCTCTCCTCTTTCTCTCTTTCCTTTTTTTTCTTAAGAGTTAAACAACTTCGGTTGGTCAGTAAACGCACCACAGCTAAGGGAGTTTGTGGACCATTTTTGAGGGTCGGACTTTTGAGTTTTTATAGTGAACTCAAGCGCTGACGGTTCAGATTACGGTGAATCGTGCCGGGGCGGGACACTTGAACACTTATCTCTAACAGTTACTGGGTCGACTTTTGTTTATCCTGGGTTTAAATTTCAATTCAGTTGGTTTTGTTTAGGTTTCGCTACTGTGTGCTAATCTAATCTAGCTTTGATTAGCTTCAGCCAATGTTAGCAAATTAAAAAATTGAATATATGGACATAATAGTGAAAAGTATTGCGAGGTAAATGTTAACCTTTATTTTTTTGCACCTGATTTTTATTTATTGATGTCAAATGTTTTACATGTCATAGACCAACACTTATAATAAACAAACAACATTTACTTTATAATTAATTAGATTAGCTAGCTCTTGTGCTACAGAGGCCTCGACCCTCGTGTCAGTTTTGCGGTGTTGATGAGAGTCTTGGTAAAGAGTGGACACAGAGCTGCTGTAGACTGAGCTCCTTGAGCACGGAGCAGCGGCGGGGAGCCGCTGACGCTGGCTGTACTTTGTTACTACACTTGTTAGTCTGTGTGTGTGTGTGTGTATTCGCTAAACACGATCTGTCTGTGTGTCTGTAAAAAAAAAAAAAAACAACACAAGGAGTGGACTCCTTGTTTGTCTAATTGTCTGTCACGACACAGATTAACATCTGAAACAGGGTCACGATGATTCACAGGTCGGAAGATCTGATTCTTTTATACTGAACAAAAGAGTATCGTACTGTTTTGTCTAAACGTCATCTTATCTGATTTTTCTGTCTTTTCTATGTGTATATTTTTTTTACCCTGCGGTGATCATCTCTCATTGTTTTTTGGCATTTTCACCCTCATTTCTAACAATTCAGACTAACATTTGAGCATTTCTCGTATAACTGTAACCGTTTGTGTATCATTAATTTAGTATTATTAATCCACGGCCCCCGATTTTGTCTCCTTGCAGGATTCAGTCGTGGTCCTGCTTCCACTGTCCCTCAGATGATTTGTGGCTCCGCCTCTTTCATGCACTTCAACATCATCGTTTCAGCGCCCCGCAGCTGATGACCAAACGTGCGGCTCACAGCACATCAGCCTAGCCTCGTCAGCCCAGCTCCACAGCCAGTCTCCGTCTTCAGTGAGGATGTTCCAGAGGTTCGCCAGCGCTCTGTTCGGGGACGATGTGGAAGAGCTGAGACAACGTGCTCCACCAGGTGGCAGTAGCAAAGAGAACGAGGAAGAGGACGAAGACTGGATCCTGGTGAACTACCTGGGTGAGTCAGTCTAGAGTGAACTGCACACGGACATAGACACACAAGTTCTAGGACAAATAGTGAAGTCTAAGGGGTAGCAGTTCTATCTTCTAGCCACAAGGGGGAAATATTGGCAACTTAAAGGTGTGTTAGACAAACACAAAATGGATATAGAATATTGCCACCTGGAACAGAGGAGTTGCTGGTCCACTGCTGCCTCGTGTGGCCAGTTTGTGTGACTGAGGTAAATCTTAAAAAAAAGGTTTCAAACTGGGAAATCAGAAAATAACAAATGTGACGTTGGCAGTGGATCAACAACTGCTGTGAAACAGTTTTTCAGACGGAGAATGATTTACTTCTCTGGATAAATCACTCTTTATTTATTCATATTTACACGTGTTCTTTTCTGTCCCTGCAGCTGAAGCCTGCTCCAGTCAGTGTGGTGATGGTCTGTCTGGATCCACTGGTGGTCGTGAAGATGAGGAGGAGGACGACGACGACGACGACCTGGTGATTGTCCCCTCAACATTGACCAACTCCCCAACCCGCTACGCCTCCTGCACCTCCCTCAACTCCACGGCAGACACTGATCCAGATGGTGGCGTTGAAGAGGATGAGGTCGATGGCGATAACGACGACGACGATGATGATGATGTGTTAGAGGAAGACGGCGGGTTCCTGCGGTTGGAGTCCTGCTCTCTGGAGGAAAGCTGGTTTGTCACACCTCCACCGTGCTTCACCGGCCGCAGCAGCCAGCCCGTCCTCCTGGAGACCAGTCCTCTGGAGAACCTGCTGATTGAACACCCCAGCATGTCCGTCTACGCCCACCACAGCCCACCGCGACTCCCCCTCGACCCCCTGCAGTGCTCCTTCGACCACGAGCTGGAGTTTCTCTCCGCTGCAGCTCCAACTGCGGCTGGGAAGGAGAAGACAAGGCGCCCCCTGGATGGACCCCGGCACAGGTAAACAAAAGGAACTAGTACTAGGTGTAAGGGTTCGTTTGTTACCTGCAGTACCATTAACTATGTGTACAAATGAGTACCAAAAATAACTGACAGTACCAAGATTATCTGCGAATCGTCTTTGACCATGAAATTAATTTTTTCCAACTTTGTCCTTGTCGCCCCCTGTAGGCCTGAGGTGGCTATTGTTCAGCGTCACTCCAGCCTTCAGGCAGCCTGCTACGCTGCAGCGTTCTCCACCCGGGTCAGCCTCCTACATCAGCGACCAGGTGGTGCCACCCAACGCTCCCAACCACTCTCTCGTAACGCCCTGCGGCGCCTCAACCTGCTGCGCCCCCCTAAGGCCAGCACGGTGCACCTGCACCAGCCGAGCCAGAGGCACCTCAACTTCTGAGGGACGCTGCCGTGACACCTTCATCGACGTGGATCGCTAACTCAGGTCCAGGCTTTCACCAGCACCCGTTTAGCCTTCACTCAGACATCGAAGCTGTCCTGAAAACATTATTAGGTGAAAGAGGGAAAATGGTTCAAAGAGATATCTGTCTTTTTATTGGCGGTGAGGTCAGTTTAGCTCCTCCTCCTCTTCACTTCTCCCTCTTGTCGATATTGAGGAGTGACCCTGCCATCCACCTTCTTTTTTTATGTCTAATCACAGTGAGGACGAGCGGTCACATGACCTCCTCTCCCTCATCTTTTTCTTAGTTTCTTCTTCTTGTGTAGAATCATTACTGTAGGTCACTTTACTCAGAGGCAGGTTAGCAGCACTGACCACGGGAGATGAAAACCGTCAACAGCCACTCGCACCACCTGTTAGCATCCATACAGGTGGCGCTGAGTCGTCGTTGACCGCTGATTGTCAAGAAGTTTACGGTTTTGGTACATTTGGATGTTAGCTACGGCTGTAGTTCATGCAGTTAAGGAGCTACACTCTGTTTATAAATACATAAACTGCGGTAGTTCATGCAGTTAAGGAGCTACACTGGCTAGCTTAGCCTTAGCTACACACTGTTATCTGACAGTAAATCTCATTCTGTTTATAAATACATAAACTGCAGTTCAGTCAGTAGATTCACCACATCCCATTTCCTGCTGTTTTTATCCTCTTCCTCATCCCTTTGTACCTCCTCATGGTCAAATGTCACGTCTCCTCTTTGTTGTGTTTTTTTGTCAAATGTCACGTCTCCTCTTTGTTGTCGTTCTCGTCCTTCCGATGTCACTGCTGGAACACCTGTCTCTGTTTGAATAATTCAGTAGTTTTCACATGTTCTTTATACAAAAAAAGACTAAAAAAAATACTGGGTTGAATATCACTAACGCCTTGTTTTAACGGTAGCTTTGAGAATAGAATAATGTTAAAAGAAAATGTATTTTAAAAAAAAATTCCAAAATATTTTTGAAAAGAAAAAAGAGATTACATATCAGTATGAAGTATCTGTGTGTGGTTCATGTGATGATGCTGTGTTGCATGGTTGTAGAGTCAGTCAAAGTGTCACAGAAAAAAAAGTGTGGAACAACAGGAAATGGAAAATAATGTCCATTTCTTGTTTTTAAAAGTTTTTTCTTTTCTTTTTAAGTAAATCTGCAGTCCACTTCTCAGGGTCACAACCAATCACCTTTACTCTTTAGTAAAAAAAATGCAGATTTATTTTGACAGCTGATGTTTTTTTTTTTCTGCTCTGCTTCATGATAAACTTCATGGGAAATAATTGACTTAGTTTTCATTTCTCTGAAACAAATCTTGGCCACAGGACTGTGAAAACTGAACCCTCAGTGGACTGTTGGAAGTCCATCCAGACAGAGATGAAACTTGTTCTTTAAATGTGTACATTATATAATTAATGTAGTTTTTTCAAATGTGTACCTATGACATGGTTATTCTTCTTAACTGTTCTGTTTGTAATGTTAAAATAAGTTACATTTTCCTAACCTGTTAAAAATAGTTAAACCAAAAAGTAATGGTTACCTTTAAGTTTCTACTAGTTTGAGTTATAGTTAGTTATTTTCCTTACTTGTTAAACTTACTAACTTGGCGTTGCAGCTCTGATATCAGTAGCAGAGTTTTGTTTGTTTTTTTTGTTTTTTTTTCAACAGGCAAAGCCAAGTCACCACACTGCCAAAATACTAAAATTGTGTTTTGTTTTTTCCCCCACACATACTCCCGCTGTCCACACCTGGGACAATGTAGCAACAACCGTTGATGTTGGTGGCCTCTGTAGCTATTTCAGAAGCTAACAGCTAATGGCAAGTTAGCCAAGTGCTGCAAGTCACACAATGGCAGATACCATGGCTGGTTTGTTGTTAGCAGCTACTTTAGCGAAACAGGATGGGGTACATTTTTGTTGTTGTTAGCTTTTACTGTAGCTGCTGCTACAGTCACGTTGTTCAAGGATAGCAGTTATTGTTTTCACTTCACATCCAGAAACACGGACATTTTCTGAACGTGGTAAAACCTCCTGACCTGCAGTATAAATGCAGTCTGTGTTGCAGTGCGGTGGCAGTGGCGGTGGCTAAGCCTTATTAGCATTATTTAGAGTCAACATGACGTTTGGTTCACTGTAAATAATTCATGTCCCAATATTGGACATGGCTCCCTCTCTGGTGTATTTATTATTTAATTCTCGAATGTTTCCTTTCTCTGTTAAAGAGCTTTGGACGATCATAGACAAAAAGGGATGAGTGGAGATGTGATCTGTCTCCCCCTGCTGTCCAGAGACTTTCTTGTATTTTTCTCGTCATCAAGCGAACAGGGATTTATAAAGTTATGTTGTTGTTTTTTTTTTTCAATGCCTTGAAATTTGTGGATCATGTGCCTTCCAGGTTCAGCCGTAGCAGTTGTAAAGACAATGCATCAATGAAGAACTTGAACTTTTTCGTTGTTATTTCGTTATTAGCGTCCTCATCGGACAGAATAAATGGATGGAAACACAAACAGGCTTCAAAAACCAACTATGCACCACTCGCCTGCTCGGTCTGTGTACAGACTTTGGACCGTCTCAACAAAACCAGACAGAATGATGTAGCAAAACCTCTTCTTTTTTTTTCTTCTTCTGTTGTTTTATTTAAAAAAAAAAGTGTGTGTGAAGAATGTTTTTGTACTTTTCACCAAGTGTTAGACTTCTTTCTTTTGTTTGGTATAGTTTACTGGAAAAATGCAGCACTTTGCCAAAAATGTTGAAAAAAAAAGTGTGTAGAAAACTTCAGACATATGTTTTTTTTAATCGACAGTTTTACTCTTATTTTTGATGTTTGATCACTTTTCTCTTGTTTTGAAACGAATGCTAGTGAAACAGCCGGGTCGTCTGTTTTCTCAACTGTAATAGCTATTACATGTGATCTGTTATTAGCCAACAATAAATGTTTTATTACACAGAACGTCCTGTCTCTGTGACTCACTTGTGTCAGTATTGGCTTTAGCCTTGGCTAACCTTTAGCCACCTTTAGCCGCTAATTATAATTGTACGGTGTTTTTTTGGTTTTTTACTTTTACATACAGTATAGCCTATTTGTTTAGTTTCTGTTTTTATATATATATTTAAAAAGGGCAAATTGTACTTCAGATGAATAACTTAGCGGGTTTTTTTTTTTTTTTTGATATTTAAAAAGCTTTCGTTTATACCGGGCAGATTGTACTTCAGATGAATAACGTAGCGGAATAATGAAGGGATCAAACTCAGGCCTGGGGGCCAAATCTGGACCGATGTGTAATTGTATTTGGTCCACAAGATCAGAACCCCTGGCAGGATTTGTAGTATTGTTGGCCTGAGAAAAAAAAAAAGGTTGACATTAAAAGGAAGAGACATAATAAGAAAGAAATACCACTGATGTGAGTTTTATTTCAAATTTAATTTTTAAGTTTATAATATTAAGCTTTGGTTGTTCCAGATTTAATGTTGATGCAAAACTAAAGTTTGTTTCCCTATTACAGATCTGGAGAGAGGCCCAGTGTGAATCTGAGTTTGACACAACAGAGTGAGTGGTTTCAAACCTCAGTTCTGGATGTGAAAAATTGACAAGAACATGAAAGGACTCAAAGGGAACATGATGATTATGACAGTTACAGTTACAGTAACATCTTCAGTACTTCTGTACAGAGTACTACCTCGATGTCAATGTTGTCATGAGAAAGGTACAGTAACATCTTCAGTACTTCTGTACTACCTCGATGTCAACATATAAATATATGGGTATTTTTAAGGTCAGTTGAAGGAAGATAATCAGGCGGCGATGTTACATCATGGAAGCTGACATCCAGAACACACCAAAGAAGAAGTCGGCGACCTCAGACTCCACGCTAATGAAGAGCACGGACACCTGTGACCTGACTGCAAAGTCGGTCCAGACCATTCGTCCACATATCGAATCTTGTGTCAAATATTTGACTCCTGACCAGTGGAGATTGGTCGAGTTGGGCTCATCCGACAGCAACACCAAACACCGGGTGGCGCACATGCTGCTGAACATCCTGAGTAACGTCTCCGGTGTCTGGTCCAAAAAAATGAAGGAGGGCGTTTCCATAGAGCGGTTGCGGGACAGTCTGAATGAATCGTTTGCCTGCAGCTTTGCCGAAGTCCTGGCAGTTGAATCGGTTCCTGCTCCCAGCACCGACAAACTCGTGGAACTAATTGCGACGGAGATCGGACACTATGTGCAGGCCCCGGTAGCTAAAGCTCGAGTTACTCCTCCATGCAAACTCAACGCCATGATCTGTTCCGTGTGCAAAATCCTGAAGACGTGTGGCGGAAAGATGAAGAAATTCTACAGTTCAGTGACACAGAGTCAGTCCAGGAAAGGAGCGGTGTCTTCAGACCAGAGCGCACAGTCGGTCCAGGACATCATCACTGACAAAGCAGCTCAGATCATCGAACCGATTCTGGACAACGTTGCAGACACAGAGTATCAGCTGCTGGAGGAGGTGTCATCTCTGGAGAACCAATGTGCTGCGGACGACATCGCTCAGTCTGTCAGTGAAGTCATGTGTTTCCAGGAGAAACCTGACCCAGATGTTGACCCTCAGGAGCAGAAGCACAAACTGCTGGGTCGAGTGAAGATTAAAATCTGTGACTTCTTCACCAAGAGTTTCATCAAAGCCTCCATGTGTCAAATAGTCTCACAGGTGAAGGCCAGGTTCACCCGTCAGGTCAAACTCGCGGACAGCGAGTCTCTCCGCTTCCTGTTGGCTGGTGTCGAGTCTGTGCTACTGACAGGTGGAAAAGTTGGGAGTGACGGAGGCCGGGTCTGTGGGCTGCACCGGCTGAGAGAGATTTCACCTCGAAAGGCTTTGGCAATTACAGGCAAACTCAGTCCACTGCTCTACGGCCACATCACGGGAGACGACAACTCGGTTTGCGCGGCGTCCGGTGCTCGACCTCGTGATGGCATCTACAGAGACATACAGAGCAGAGTCATCTGTTTCCTGTCCCTGGTGAGCTGGTGGCTCAACAACCAAGCTCCTCTTTGCAGCAACAACGCACTAATGGCTTTGACGGACACAGATGCTGCGGCAACATCGCACCTCCGGGAGATCACCACGGAAGAGTTTGAGGAGAAGGCCGCACCTGCGACGGTGGGCGTTAACCCTCAACTGGACGCAGCCGCCCTCAAAGGCAATAACAGGTTTTTCCTCAGGACCGTGATCACGAATCTCTTTCTAAATGCCGTGACGAAGGTCGAACAAAGTTTAGTCGTCGTCCCGGACTTGGAATCTAAAATTGATTCTCTGGTGGATGAAATCTGGAGTGAACTTGAAAGCACTACCGTGGCCATCACCACGAGGGATGTCGACAGACTCCGCAAGTCCATCATAAAGGCTCTCCGTAAGAGTTGCTGCAGCCTAATGGGACTGCTGGTCTCCATGGAATCAGGACACTCCGCAGGACTACAGATACTAATCACCACCTGTTTTAAGGCTCACCTGGACAAAAAATGCCACGGCACCTCCAGAGCTGCCAGTATTTTGAGGTGGAAGAAATAAAAAGTTTGTTTTTCAGGTGTCAGGCTTGTTTTCATTCAGGAAAATGTTATGGATGTTTGGTTTGATTTGATTTGTGTGTTTTAAGTAGCAGCAAACTAAAAATGCATTTCCCCATTTGTCTAATCTAAAAGAGACATTGCTGTAAATTATGAAGATTAAAAAATAAACTTGACTGGTGTAACATTTCAGATGCCAGTTGTATAAATAATTTAGGATAAAGAAATCAAACTATTTTATGAAATAAATATATATAGACCATAGACTTTAATTAATTTCCACACATATTCGATGATGGTACAATGCACCATTATTTCTTATAAACTATTTATTGCACATGACATCATCAGAAGTAGACGATAGAAAAGACTAGGCTGAGAATTATTTTTGTTGCCTTTTGAGTCTGAAACAGTTCTGTAGTTTCATGGCTGCATGATAACATTGTATCTAGTGGAGAACAAAAGTGACATAAGGATGTGATGTAATTAAAGTCACAGTGTTTTGGACAGTTTCACAAAACATTTCATTTTTTTACGTGATTTTAAATACCTCTGGTCTGTCCTGGAGACTTGAGAATGTAGTGTAAATAATATCCAGTGAATAAATATTTGCTGTTTGAGTTTGTACTAAAATAGTAAAAAGTGACGTGAAATCACTTCTATACTCTGTGCACCAGCAGAAAAACACAACAGCGCCGCTGTCCTGTCACTGACAGCTGACCCACGTGTTCCCTCTGTTTACATTTAGCAGGAAACACGCGGCTGTCACTGCTCGGGCTTTCATTGGTTCGACGTCACACGGGCTTCTCCAGTGGGCGGGATCGAATAGGGGGACGTTGCACTGCACCGAGGATAATAGCACGTAAAACTCAATAAAACAGAATTTATTTTAAGGGAAACCGGTTAAAAGTGATTCTCTGCGGTTTAAACTGTCGACAAATTTTAACCGGAACAAACCGGAATCGTAGTTTTCTTCAAAAAACGTCCTCGAAACTGGGACTTCGGTGGAAATGAACGAGGGCAACGGGAGAACACGTCGAATTGTGCGTTTATTTCGCTGCTAAATCCAAGCTTCTCTCTGGTCAGTACTCCGCGACCCGTGTTTATACCCTTAGACCCCATATTAGTCCCGTTTGTGAAAAATCTCACTTCAAATTTAAAACATTTTGCGCGTTTCTGTGAACCGGGCTGGCGCATGCGCGTCGACAACGCGGATATAAAGGATTGGCGCCGGCGCCACAGCTGATGATCCTTCATTCATTCACTCGTCTTGCACCGAGAAGGTAAGCCTGGGCTGGAGAGTTCTCTCCCTCTCTTTCACACACACATATGTTAATGTAAGGCGAGCATTAGTTTTGTCAAAAAAAACAAAAAAAAAAACAACAAATCTTATTGTTATTTTTTGAAAATCAACTTTTCTCCTAAGTCCACGTCTTTGTGGGTGTAATTTTGAGTTTCAGCCACAGAAAGCAGCCACGTACCCCTGTAAAATTGTCGATCTAATATCACTGTAAATGTCACTTTGTTGTTTTTTTAAAAAAAAAGTGAACCCGTTATATCGATGCTGTGTGTGCGATTTAAATTCACCAGTTTGTTTCTGTTTAAAACACTGAAGCTCACCGTGTGTTTATTGTCAGTTTTAACTCCTCATATAAACTAGTTTAAAATCGTATTTTCTTTTTTTTTCTGCCTCTGTGCTAATCCTCATATAAACTAGTTTAAAATCGTAATTTGTTTGTTTTTCTGTTTGCATCTGTTTTAAGTAATAGGGTAAGAACAGGTTCTGACCCGGGTTGGTGCGGGTCTGGTTAACCTTCTTATTGTTGACCCAGTTATAGCTAAGTTAGCTGTGCTCCTTCCCTCCACCACAGCTTAGCCCTGTGCTACAGAAGTCCGTTTACCCGGCATTTTCTGCCGCCATCGAGCTTTAAATTCACCTTTATGCCGATGTAAGGATCCCCAAGGTTTCTGTTATCAACTGGGCTCGGTTTTAACCTCGTTCGGATTTGTTTAATCGGTCATTTGTCCAGGTTTGTGCCCCCTCCTTCTTCCCTCTCTCGGCTCGATTCCTCCCGCTTCTACGCTGCTCAAATTGGCGCCTCTTTGGCTTTGAGTTCTGGATAAAAGTCGCTATTTTACACGTTTTTCCCACCGTAAACCGGTCCGTACGTGTGTGGAAACGTGTTTCCTTTCTCTCGAAAGTGTAAAAGTGTAAATATAATCGGACATTTTGGAGTTTTTTTTGTTTAAAATGGAGGGAGAAACAATCGAGAGCCCCCCTCCCTCTGAGACTGTAGTAACACAGACCACCGCAGCTGCTAGAAACACTCAATTTAACTCCATTTACACTAAGTTAGTAGTGATAAGTTGAATATATTACATGTACAGTAATGTCATATATCGATACTGGAAGATAATATCAGAAATATCTAAAGTCGTCTTATCTTGTATCTAGGAAACGACGCTGTAACATGTTGGTTCGTTTCCAGGTCATCTTTTAAAATCAGATATGTTAGTTTTTAAGAGTGACCTGTTTTTGTTTTTTTTAAATAAATTGCTGTTTGGAGTCTCAGCTCTATAATATATTCTGGAACATTTTGTTCTAAGAAATACTCGATTAGAAATGATCAACTATGATCTTCTATAGTGTAAATATATTCTTTAGTATTTGTGTCGCCATTGACGGTTCATTTTGTTATGTAATAGATGTTTTATTAATATTGTATAAAGACAACATATTAGCATTTAGCTAATGTTTTTCTCTATTCTAAAACCCTTGTTGTGGGCATGTGTTCTGAGTTAGCTTTTTCTAACTTACTGCTAGTTAGTACTCAGACACTAATGTATGTCATACTCTGGTATAAAACATATTTTACTTTAGAATGTTTTCAATAGCCAACCAAACTATGGTAAAAATGACTTAATTAACATTTCCTTTTTTTTCCCCTTGTTTTTACAGCACAGGAATAAACGCAAGTCATCATCATGTCTAGACGCAGGTAAGAATTTATTCAGTCTGAAATGTTTGTCAATTGTTTAAATGTATGAAACGTTTAAAAAAATGAGGAGGCTAAGTGTGACATGGTGAAACGGGCAGAATGTTCATTTGTGGTTTAGATAAAACTCTCAGTTGTGAGCATTTTCTCTTCATGTGTGAGTTCACATCTCTGGTGTTTACTGATGTGTGTCCGGGGTTTTTCTTTTTTTTTCTTCACAGCAGTCGCATCACACTTCAGGTCAGAGATTCAAACAAACCTGAGCCGACTGGTCGTGTCCCACTGAAGAAACGGAAATCAGAGGTTTGTCTTTTTTTTAAATACTCCTTAGAGAGCCACAAAAAATTGTTTATGTTGTTTATTTATTTGTTGTTGTTTTGTTTTTTTTTTTTAAATATGCAGGTTTCAAAGAAGAGAGTGCAGCCTGCTGCCAAAAAACAGAGCTACGAAATACAGGTCAGTGTGTGTTTATTTGTCTTTGTTCTGTAGCCCTCTCTGTCTTAAACTGTTGGTCACAACGTTATCTTTAAAACTTCGTAATTCTCAATATTTATTCTCATCAACCCTCCCTTAATATTTGGAGTTGTTTATCAGTCTTGCATTACCAGTGTTTCACCTTAGGGTGGCGGTATTATGCTTTGATGGCGGCTAATCGGAGAGCGAAGAAAATGAAACAAATCATTTTCTTCCAGACATTCTTTAAATGTAATTTAAAAAAAAAATCAGGTAATGTGTTTGTAGTGACAACTGTCATTGTTTTTGTAACATCACGTTTGGATTGGATTAGGGTGTAATTAATGCCTGAGGTTTTTTTGTTTTTTTTCTCCTTCCCAAAGGTGTCAGTTTACTCACCTTGAGAATAAGACTGCTTTCATGTTGTCGAGTAATTGAGCACTAATTGTATTTTAAATGTAAATTTTTTGCCGCTTTTCCTCCTTCTGTCGTCCAGACGTGTTGGTCAGATGACGGGGCCAGTCCGTGTGTCCTCATCGAAACGCCTCACAAAGAGCTGGAGCCTTCAGACCCGTCCACCTTCAAACAGTACACCTTCAAGAACTTCTTCATCAAACCCTCTCCCATCCCCCGCCTCAGGTAAAATGTCTGTCTCACACCTCGGTGGGAGACCACACTCTGTCCATCTTTGTTTTCTCAGCCTTCAGTTCCTCCATTTCCTTCACTGTCACTCAGGGCGGCCATGTTGGGGGGGAAACAACTGAAGTAGAGTGTTCATTTTGGATGTGTTTTCCAACTAAAGAAAAAAATATATATATTCACTGCACTTTTTTTTTTTTGAGAAATGTACTTTCTACTACTAACATGTTATAAACAGTTTAATTTACATGGTTTATCTCTGAGTGCTGTTTTGTTATAATTGTTAATTATTATTATTTTTTTTCTACATGCAGTTGGGCCAGTGCAGATGACGTGTGGATCAACATGCTCAACAAAGAGTTAAAGTACGTCCATGATAAGAGTTACCTGCAGAGTCACCCAAAACTGCAGCCCAGTATGAGAGCCATCCTGTTGGACTGGCTGCTGGAGGTGAGACACATGTCTTAGGACTGGAAATAAAAAATAATAATCTTTTTTTTTTTTAAAAATTACGTTTTGTCAAATGCTGTTGCTGATTGAGTGAAGACTCACCACGTGGCACCCACTCTGTGTACAGGTCAGCGAGGTCTACAGTCTCCACAGACAGACGGCATACTTGGCCCAGGACTACTTTGACCGCTTCATGCTGACTCAGCAGGATGTCAACAAAGATTATCTGCAGCTCATCGGCATCACCGCACTCTTCATTGCCTCAAAGATTGAGGTGAGACTTAAATAATTTCTAAACTATGGCCATAAAATAGTCCGAAGTATCCAGTCCGTTGTCCAACTGTTTTTAAATGTGGCCAAAATACAACTCAAGTAAATGTGAAATGTTTTGTTTCTAACTCGTCTTTTCATCACAGGAAATCTACCCTCCAAAAATCTTCGAGTTTGCCTACGTCACAGACGGAGCCTGCGACATGTGGGACATTCAGCGCACGGAGCTGCACATACTGAAGGTGAGACGGATGCTAAAATAATAACAACAACATTAACTGAGCACTAATGCTATACTGGAATCAAACACTCAACACCAAAGAGTCCATAAAGAAAATCTGTGATTTTTAGCTCACAATTCCTGGGTCACTGCTGCCTCCTGTGGTCAGTCACTGAAATAAATCTGAATAAAGGATTTCAAAGAGTGAAGTCATATTTGATCTATTTTAATCTGGTTTTCGGTTTTTACTGAGTCATAAGAGTTTTGCAAATGTCCTTGTTTTTACATCTGTGTCTCAACCTCCACATTTTCCTCTTCGTCCTACAGGCATTGGACTGGAACCTCTGTCCTGAGACGCCCATCTCCTGGCTGAAGCTGTACGCTCAAGTGGAAGCTGAGCAGGAAAACAGTGGTGAAGAGAACTTCCTGGTTCCACAGTTTTCTCAGGAGAAGTACATCCAGATCGCACAGGTGAGTGGACAAGAGTGAAGAAAAAAATAAAAAAGTTCCTCAGTCCAAACCCAGACACTGACTCTCCTGTGTCCTCCTCCAGCTCTTGGACCTGTGTATGATGGACGTCAACTACTTGGACTTCAGCTACAGCGTCCTGGCTGCTTCAGCCTTCTGTCACTTCCACACATTCGACGTCGTTCATAAGGTCTCAGGTGAGTTCAGGTCTTGCTGTGTCGGTGCTAAAAGTCATGAAAGGTGTGGACGTATCGAGGCAACTTGAAGCTAAACGTTAGCTAAAACAGTGTTTCTTGAAGGAAACGCATTTTGCTCCTGAAATACTTCATACTATTCGCATCTAAAACTGTGGCTCCAGTAGATGATTTAGGTCCGAACCTCGACTGACAATCCTGATCTTTCCATCAGGTCTGACATGGGACAGCGTGGCGCCCTGTGTGCGGTGGATGAGTCCGTTCATGGACACGTTGCGCGCCCAGGCCACGCCTACGGTCAAGAACTTCCCCAGAGTCAAAGCCGACGATCGGCACAACATCCAGACCCACGTGTCCTACCTGGAGCTGCTGGTGAGTTCTTATCAGAGAATGTTGTCTCGTGGCCGTCGTCCTTCGCTGACTGACCCTTTTTTTTTTTTTTTCTCCCCCCTTCCCTTGGTTTCCACAGAGAAAAGCCCACGAGCACCAGAACGACACCCTCAACTGTCAGATGTCTCCCGTTGCCATCGCTGCGCCCATCCTGACTCCGCCCAGCAGTACAGAGAAACCGGCAAATCCCTGATCGGTGAAACGAAGCCTGAACTCCGAGTCTACCTCCTCTTCATGGACGACATGAATGATGAAACGTCAGCAGATCTGCCAGTTCCTCAACGCAGATGAGTTTCTTTAGAGGAAGAAAAAAAAAAACAACCCAATTTTATTTTTGTTTTAGATTACCTTTATTTTTAAACACTCGATGTCAGACATTGGTCCACTCTTTTTGGGAATTTTTTTTTTTCCCAGGGAGGTTCTGTTTTGACTTGATCTACTGTAGAACATGAGCCTGTGAACAGAAGCTAAGTTTTCTGTCTACAAACTCTGTGGAGGGAAAACTTTTTTTTTTTTTAAATATAAATTGGTTCCTGGTTATTCCTGAACAACTAGCTAACTGATGACATCTAACGGTAAAAAAGTCCAATTGCAATATATAAACTCCACGTACCTGTCCTTGTTGGTCTTTATCCAACATTAAAACGGACGATTCAAGCTGTTTGTTATTAAAAACAAAATTGATCTGATAGAACCAGAGACGGACCAAAATAAAACTGAATTTTCTACAGCCTGAGTCACTCAGGTTCAAATCTCTTATTGATTAAAAAAAAATCAGCTTAAATTTACCTAGAAAATATACTTACAGTAAGTATTAATATAATTTACACTGATTTTTTATCTTTACTTTTTATTGGGTAGATCTATGTTTAAAAAAAGAAAAAAGGGTTTTGAGATCAAATGGAGTTGAGTTCACTGTGGACTGGCTGTGACCTGAGTCATGACCTTTCCATGTTCTGCTAGTGCAACTGCATGTTGTTGGAATGTAAGTAATTTCTTTAATCCAACGCTCAGGAAAACCTGGCTTCGTTTCTAAGCTTTCTGAACCTGAGGAATGAATACGTCTCGTTGACGAACGTCTGTCGTTTCCACGAACCCGTGGATGAATGATTTTTCTAGGAGACTTGTTTTCAAAGATGTTCTGGTCCACACCAGTTCTGATTCAGCCTGGATCTGTTCACACTAGTCTCAGACCATCGCTGCTGTGTTGTGGGAACAAAGTGAAGCTGAGGTGTTTTTGACTAAACTCTAATCGAGTTCACCTTCAGTCCGGACTTCACATTCACAAACTGATTCTTGAATGTGGGTCTGCAGTCATTGATATAAATATATATATTTTTTTAAATATATATTTTGTTACATCCTGTGAAACTTGACGATTGTGCAAATTATTTTTTGCTTTTTTTTATTATTATTAAATGGAATCTTTGTATTTATTGAAGTTTGAATCTGTGGATATTGTACAAAAATGAATGATTTGATTCTCACCGCTGCCAAAGGCAAAAAATCTATTTATGGTTTTTAGCTGAGTTTTGACTTTTATTTTCATCCTGTCACTTCTGTGCCTTTTTGAACCTGAACTGTATTAAAACGGAAGCTGAACAAATGTGTGACAAAAGTGTGTAAGTGTGTGTGTGTGAACTGTAGTTACAGTTATATGATGCTGTAAATAGATTTAAAGTTAAATCAAATTGTAATTTTTTTCTTAAGTCATTGTTTTAAATAAAAAAAATTAATTTTCTTTTGTCTAATTTTAATGTCTCACTTCACTGATTTTCAAAGTTTATACACGAGCTGTAATAAATATTTTAACACCACCAGTGTAAGTAACTAAGTCATTTAACCGATTCTGACACGGTGCAGATTAACCTACTTACCATAGGGGGAGCCCAAGGTGCACCAGTTTCCTACATGGGTGTGATAGAAGCTGTAGACGTACTGACAAACTGACTAACTGGTTTTAACCGGTTTTTGTATGACCGCGAAATAATTAAAACACAAAAAGAATAACAACGACCCCTGCAGGAAAAAAAATCAATATTTTAAAGAAACTCAGTTAATCTCATGTTGTTATGGCCTAGTTTTAAACCCGGTCCAGTTTTAAATCGTGTTACTTATAAACCAATCAATTTCAGTTCAAAGTTGTTTTTTAATAATCTTGATCTACCAATGTCTCAAATATACTGTTAAAGTGTTTTTTTTTCATGTTGGTAAAAAATGGCTTGGTTTGACAGTAGCGTAGTTTAATAAATGACACTTTAAGTTTGCTTTATGTCCACATTATTGTATTTTAATTTGTGTGAACGTACAGAGGTTATACCGGATCCCATCAGGGGTAGGCGCTGTAGCCTAAGTCTTACAGAAGGTGACGCAGGTACGTCACAGAAAATGTCGGCAGTAATGAGTATGCGGTCGATAGCGTCACTGAAAAAAAGTTTGTAAGAGGTAAGCTAGACGCTTTTTTAATGAGGTTCAGTGTTAGGTGTTATTAGTTATTAAATCATCAGTTAAAAATGAATCGTTTAATGCTATATTGTGGCCGCGAACTGTAAGTAAACCGACGTTTGGTGTAATGGCGGGACGTGACGATAATTTACAGTATTCAGGTTCATGGGCTACGTAATGAAAACGTTCAAACAATACGATTTAAGATTGATGTGAGAGTGACAGCGAATTGTGTGTGGTCACAGGGTCGTTAAAATCAGCGATGCTAATGTTGCTATTTTTACGCTAATGACATGTTGACTTTCACGCTCAATTCAAGCGGGTTGGTAAATTTGTTGCAACAGACTTCGTAACATATACGTAATTGTGTTCAATTATTTACATTTAAAAAAAGAAGCAAATGAAGTTCTACAAAGATTAGAACTATTCACGTGAACATCTTCTGAAAGACCACAAAAGAAATCAGGGAAAAACACTTTTATTAAAAGTCATATACAAAAGGGAAAATTTGTTTTTTTTTATAAAACATTCAACTGTACATGACATCACACATCAGTAAAATTGAAGCAATGTGTTTCGACACGAACCTGCTTCATTTACCAAATCCATAACAATTTTTATCTACAAGAACAGAGACGTCCTAACAGAATAAGAAACATTTCTGCAACTTCTCACAAATATTTGAATCTAAACTTTTGGTAAAAATACAGGATCCAAACCAAAACTTTTTTAAAAACCCTGATTGTTCTGTGCTCGTTCAGAAACAGTCTGATTAAAGGCTAAATGTGGGTTTCATTTTTTTCTGAAGGACAGTTACATTCTTCTGGCGTTATTCTAACACAAACTCTGGAAATCTCTGAGATCAGTCCAGCTCACAGGTCCGATGAGAGTCCACTAACTCTGCCCACGTCCCTTTACTGGTTCAAGTCTGGCCTTGGGTCTGAACCACATTTTAGATCTGGATCAATCTTCCTCCTCTGTTCCCATTCTATCCCTCAATTCAAGTAAAATCTACGGTACTCTCAACCCTTTTTGGGGATCTGATCTAGAACCTTCTGGAGTCTAACGTTTATTAACGTAGCTAAGAGGTAGACCGGGAAATGATCAGACACAACGCTGGTTGACGTTTATTAACGTAGCTAAGAGGTAGACTGGGAAATGATCAGACACAACGAGTCTGCAGACAAATTTCTCTGCACAAAAAACAAAGAAATCTCAGTCCAAAATGTCTTTGACCACGTAGAACACTGGCTTCTAGTCCTGCTGAGTCATAACGTCATGACTATGGCTCCTGTGGATGTTTTTCTCCACCTTGTCTTGGGGATTGGTCGTAGATCTCGCTGAGCGCCCTAAACTTTGGGCCCCACTGTGACAGCGTGCTATGAACAAACCCTCTATTGTCGTCATCGCCATTCCCTCCAGATGCGATTGACTCCAGTGAACTAAGGCTACCCAACGAAGTCCCCGAACCCTCCACGCACCAGACGTGGTAAGAGTCTGGCGGGAAGGCCTCGTCGTCGTGGTCAGCCTCCCACACTATGTGCGCTACGTAGCTCTTGAAGTCCATGCAGCCCATTGACGACAAATGATCTGCGTCTGTCTTCGCGTTCTTGTCTGTGTTAGCGCTGCAGCTAATGTTTTCAGTGTAGCCACTATTGTCTGGCTGATGCTGGTGGTGTGGGTGTAGAACGCTAAGGTAGGGGGCGCCACAGTTACAGGAAGTGGAAGAAACGGTAGGGAGAATGTCCTCCTGAGAGCTGGGTGAGGACTGGATGAGTGGAGCAGTGGTGCAGGACGATGACTGGGACAGACTGGAACATAGGGGGCGCTTCAGCTCTGTGATGTCATAACCATTCTGGAGATGTAAACAAAAAGGACTTAACCTCTTAGTGGTACTGTAGATCCGAAAAGAATGTCAAAAGAACTTTTTTAAATTCCAAAAAAAAAACTACTTTTAAGCTTTTATACAAATAATACAAATAAATAAATAGAGTAGATATTTTTAACATAATGAACACACAGCGTGGGTTTTCTTTGTTATTGTTACTTGATTGTGTACTTGCACACCTGGTCCTGTTCTCCTCCTCCCTCCTCATTGTAGTTGAGTATGTTTTCTCTAACATCCTCCCAGCTCTGATGTTCATCAGGAATGTGATAAACGCCACGTTTCCTGAACTTGTTACGACTTCCCTTCTGATTCCACACCGTCACTGCCACTAGGACTGCTGCAACCAAACAGTAGAAGAATATGAACACGACACTGGCGTTGTTGGTTATCCATCTTTATCACAGTCTCTCAAGTAAAGTAGCCAGAATGGACATGCAGATCTGTGAGCTGTTTTTTTTCATATTTTTTATATAATTTTTATATAATAGTTTTTAATATAATGTAATCTTAATATTTTTGTATTTTGATTTTTATTTGAATATGAAAATATAAACAACCACTAATATTTTTGTATTTTGATTTTTATTTCAATATGAAAATATAAACAACCACATAAATCTGATCTTGTCTACATTCCGTTGATGTCTCTTACCAAAGAAGACAAGCAGACACATGCTGACGGCCAGGATGGAGCTAGGACTCAGGGCAGACAGATGCTGACCTCTGACCTGACCCAGTTCACAGCGCTGACCTTTGAACCCATCGTGACACCTGCAGCTGAAACTGTCCACCGTTAATGCCTGACACACACCGCCATTGCGACAGGATGACGGTCCACAGGGCGAAGGTCTACATCGCTGCTGACCAGTTTGGTCTGTCTCCATCACCTGACCAGAAGGACACCTGAGGAACAGTATCAGAGTGGGTCAGGACTGAGCCCAGACCTGCTCCAGAGAAGACAGAGTTGATTGGCTTTATTACCTGCACTGGTGTTTCCTCCACAGGTCCACACAGCGCAGTGGACTGGCACATGGTCCGCTAATGCAGGCGTCACTGGAACATCCGGAGGAGACGCCACGCTGATCCAGAACCAGCACCGTGTCCATACTCAGACCGCTCAGAGGTAGAACGTGACCGTTCAAACGAACGTCCCTCAAACAGCCTGGAACAAGAGGGGAGTCCGGGATAAGCCCAGAACCTGATCTTAGATCTGTAAGGAACTAAATCACAACTAAAGTAGTAGGAGTAGCAGGAATTTGGGACTGAGTTCTAAAGAGACTCGAAGACAGACACCAGAGCGACTAGGAATTTGGGACTGAGTTCTAAAGAGAATCGAAGACAGACACCAGAGCAACTGGTAACTTAATGGAACCATTTTTACACAGCAGAGGAACTGATTTGCGTAGTCGTCGCTGGACTTAAATCGATGTGTGCTACTGAAGTGTTTGACCTCTGAATCTCACCCTGGAAGTCACCAGCATCTTCTCCAGTCTTTGGACCCTTTCCCACCACCAGATTGGATGGATGGAGCAACATCTCCCTGTGGTCCCCCAGCTGAGCCTGAACCTCTCGTGAGCCACCACCCTGCTCCACCTTCAGAGTGAAGAGGTTATCGTGTCGACTCAGACTGACCAGGATCCACTGGCCGATGTCCACCTGTTGACCAGGGAGCTGCAGGAAGTTGGTGCCACCACCCAGGTCGGCTCGAACAGAGAGGAGACCTCCTTCGATCTGAGGGGGAAAAAACATCCCTAACGTGAGCAGGAAATTAAAGAGGAAGAAGCGACGGGTGGAGACAGAGACTCACCTCTAGGATGATGTACTCGCTGGCTTCCCTTGAAGACACGGAGAACAGGGTTCCTGTGGCGCTCCTGGTTCGGAGGAACATTTGGATGTTTGTGCGTCTTGTGCTGCTTCCACCTCTGAGCTGGAAACGCATGAAGCTCTTGGGGTCAAAGGAGAATTCTGGGACCACTGAAGAATGGAGGAGCAGAAACAGAAACACAAGCTTAAAACTATGAAAAAAACAAAACAAAATACGTAGTAAACATCATGAAGCATAGAAAAAACATCCATGTGTGGACCAGCAGCTCCTGTGTCCTTCTGATCTTCTCTGTGGACTCTGGTGTTGGAGAGTAAAGGTTCAGGACATCTAACATTACACACACACATACACTCGTCTCACCCGTGTCACACTTGTGTCCGGTGAATCCAGGACGACACTCACAGCTGAACGAACCCCACTCAGCCTGACAGGAGGCGTGGCCTCCACAGGAAGGACTACCTGCCGTCACACACACACCGTCTGTGGGTGTACAGCCCGCGTTACTGCCAACACTCTCTCCTGGAGACGCTAGGTCGTAAACCTGAGGGTTGGGATGGGAGACCGTGATCAAAATCTCAGCCCATTTACCAAGTAAACACGTAAAATGATCGATAAACGTGACAGAATGAGTTACCTGACTATCCACCACCAGGTTTCTAAGGCAGCCTTTAAAACCTTGGTATCTTCTGTGGAGAGACGTTTCCTTAACGCCCCCTAGCTGTAGAGGCTGGAACACGTCCAGATACCTGAATGACAACAGGATTGAGAGATTGGGATTTACAAAACAAAAGCAGGCCATAAATTAGCCGATGTAGATTAAAGTGAAGCTAGGAATCGCTGATAGAAATATTTAAAAAATAAAACCTAAATATTTTAGCTAAAGGTCAATAAAATAAACAATGAATAATAAAATGTACGCACTAAGTAAAAAATAGATTTGAAAAAAAAAAAAATTATTCAAGGTGCAATAAGTAAAAAATAGATTTGAAAAAAAAATTATTCAAGGTGCATCAAACTCAATGCCAGTGAACCTAGAGCAGGGACCATATTTGGCCCCCGCACCAGAGTCTGATCTGAAAGAACAAACAGATCTGTTCACATCTGGTCATTTCTCTCCAGGTGTTTCCTCACCTCTGGTCTCCTGGTGTTTCGCCTGAAGCTCTGCAGGACGACTCATCCAACTCCTGAGTGACACCCACACCACTGCACTGGTCCAGAACCAGGGTCACCGTCTGGACAAACAGGAAGAACCACAAGATCAGAAGGTCCGGTATTTAAATGGACTTTTTCCTCTCATTACCTTGATTTGTTCTCTGACTATCTCTCTACTCATCCATCCATCCATCATCCATCCATCCACCTCTCTCTCGCTCTCTCTCTTTTTCTTTCTGTCTCTCTACCTTCCCATCAGAGATGATGTCCAGTCGATGCCACCGTCTGTCAGTAATAGCAGAACTTTTTGGCAGCTGCAGAGTTAGAATTCCTGATCCGTGGTTTATACTCAGGGCTGGAACGCCGTCTTTCAGTTCTTCGGGAAGAATGAAAAATATGTAAATTATTTTGATTAATTCAGGGAAAATGTTCCAAAAATAGGTTCGGCTAGAAATACGAATACGAATAGTAAAATTTAGCTCAGTTAAAATTAGCCAGAGGATTATCAACGGGTATTCTCCAGAAAGTAAAATTTAGCTCAGTTAAAATTAGCCTGAGGATTATCAAGGATTATCATCATAAAATTTAGAAAATGTTGACATGTAGACTGACCTACAGCGATGAAGTCCTCCTTCGCCTCAGAGTGGGCGGGGACAACTGGTCCATTATAGAGGAGCAGCCCGTTGGGCGACTCAGCCAGAAACTCCAAAGAGATATGACTCTGGAAACAAGGCATGATGGGAGGAAACCAGGCGTAGCTCTGGCCGCTGAAGGTGCGTTTGGTTTGTTGGCACTGAGGCCCATCCAGCAGAGGAGGACACAGACACCTGAGACACAGGAAGTAGCGTTTAGTCAGAAGTGACGCCCATGAAAAACAGGGGAACAGCTAACCTTCAGCTATTCTCCGCGTTAGGTCGTCCACAAACTGCACCCACCTGTATCCCAGAGGTCCATCCTGGCAGGTGCCTCCGTTGAAGCAGGGGTTGCTGGGGTATGCAGCACAAGGCAGATAGTTGACCTCTCGACCCCTGCATCCACACTCGGCGGAGGTCGAGGCTGACAGAGAAACCAGAGACGTGTTCCCGGAGCTGAGCACCAGGGGAGTCTGACTGAAGGAAACCTGGGTGCTGCAGCCTCCAGAGCCGCTGCAGTCGGTGTGAGGACAGTCGTCCACACCCACCTGAGAGATGGACACGCCCACCACCGACTCCAACTTGAAAAATACAGAAGAACAGCAATTACCTTTACAGTAGACTTAAGGTAACCAGCTAAAATCCCAGGTTTTCTTCTCACCTTAACTTTGTTGGCGGCGACGTAGCCCTGCAGCTTCTCAGTCCTGTAGTACGGTGAGCCGTGGGCAGAAAACCACACGTTCAGGTCTTTGTGTCCTGGTTGACCAGCGTCGGCCACAGAGAAGATCTGAACATTCTCTGGTACAGTCTGCATCAGATCAGCCAGTGCCTCACGCAGACGGACGAAAGGACTCTGTTCACCACCACTGAAGAAGTTCTCCACTGTCAGGTCTGCAGCAGAGACAGGAAGAGGTGAAGATGTAGAGGAGAGGAAGAAGGAGTGAGGGGAGAGATGCAGCAAGGTGTGAATGAGGAATGTAAAAATAGAAATTTAGGAGATGTTAAAAAAAGAAAAGGTGGAGGAGAAAAAGAGAGTATGGGGAAATACTGAGTTAAAAAAAAAGTAATTTCCTGTCTACCTAAACCTGCTGGAGAAAATTGTCATTTTTGTCCTCGATTCTATCTGAAAACACCCTGAAGAGTTGCCCCCTGCTGGCTGTTCATTGTAAACCCTCCAACATGAATGTTGTGTGTGTGTGTTCTAGGACTCACTGGACAGTCGCACGGACGCAGCGTTCTGCAGGATGTTCTGACGCAGCTCCATCACCTCCACGCGGGCGGTGGAGATGACGTCAGGCCAGGTGTGGTCAGACACCAGCACCTGCAGGTGGTACGACCCAGGGGGAGTCCCTTCCCTGATGCTGAGCTGACCCGAGGTCTGGTCCAGACTGAAGGCCCTGAGAGGAGGAGGCAGGAGGAGGAGGTCAGTCAGGAAGCTTACTAATTTAATGTAAAGTTATCTATTAGCTACTTTGTCTTTGTCTCTTTCTGAGACAAGCTAAACTAAATTGAGCAAATTCTATGGGTACATTTTTAGGGTAAAATATTTTTAAAAATAACCAATGAATCTTTGGCTAATTTCGAGGTAAACAATTTATGTTTTTTATTTTAATTGTTATTCCATACGTACTGTGATATGAACTAAGGCACAATTGCTTGACTAATTACAACCCTTTTTTCGGTATCAGTCAGGAAGCTTACTAATTTAATGTGTTTAAAGTTATCTAGTAGCTACTTTGTCTTTGACTCTTTCTGAGACAAGCTAAACTAAATTGAGCAAATGCTATGGGTACTTTTTTAGGGTAATTTCTAATGGCTAATTTCTAGAGATAAACAATTAATGTTTTTTATTTAATCTTGATTAACAGCATATTGTTATTCCATACGTACTGTGATATGAACTAAGGCACAATTACGGCTTTTGACTAATTACAACCTGTTCTTTCGGTGTGGCTGATTGATCTGTTAACTGTTCGTCTTTAAATGATGTGGCTGTTGTTTATTTGCTTTATTTCGACAAAACCTTTGTTAGCCGTCGGCTGAGGTGAAACTCAGAGCCGTCGAACTTCTCGCTGCTCTTTTTCCACAACAACAAACTGAACTGCATGGGTTTATGGACAGATGCTGCTCAGCATCTTCATCACCTTCAACTTCTTCTTCTCGTCTTTTTTTTCTTCTTTTTCTTCTTCTTTCCCTTTGTCTTCCTCTTCTTTCTCCACTTTTATTTTTACCTCTCCACATAAACAGCTCAGTGAGGAACAAATTGCTACCTGTCAGCAGCTGTGAGGCGGCAGCATCTCACAGCATCTCTGATCAGGTTTCTCTCTCTCCCTGTCACGTCTTTTGTTCTCAGATCTTTCTCGTCTTTTTCTTCTCGTCAGGATGTGGTGAGAAACAGCAGCAGCAGCAGCAGTGGTAGGTGGTGGGTGGTGGCAGAGAGTGTAATCAGCCTCGCCTTTCAGCGTGTAGCTGTGGAGCCTCATCAAACAAAACCAGCTCCTTCTCCACCTCCTCCACCTCCTGTTCCTCACTGAGCTGCTGCGTGAATTTTCTCTCCTGCTGCTGATTGAGTATAAATATAAAATAACTGTTTCTGATGAGAACAACCTCCTGTTTTTGTCTCCTTTCTCCTTTTCTTCATTTTTCTCTTTCCTGTTTTTTATTTTCTGTGGTCGTTGTGTCTTCACATCTCACACCTATTTTCCTGATCCTTGCGACTGGTTCTTGGAACCTTTCCTACTTTGCAGTGCTTTAATTTTGTCTCAGTTCGTAGAACCGTTTTCCTGCAGGGACAATCCCCATAGTTCCTGGTACTATTACTGTTACTTATGAATATGAGGGCTCTTTTGTTAGTAGTACTAATTACTCTTGTAAAAACCAAAAGTTCCTGAAACTGATTGTTGTTCATGTGGTGGAATTATCCATTGTTTCTGGTACTTGTTTACCCAGTAGGAGCAACACAGTTCTGGGTACTGTGCCTAGTTGCTTGTACTGGCTTCTGTGGTAGAAACACATATTGGTTGGTTCTGTGACTGGTACCTGTGATGGGCTAAGCTCGTTGTTCCTGGAAGTTTTAAATACTTAATAATTCAATGGGAAAAAACTCGTGAAAATCCTGTCACTGTCCGTCATGCACTCCTGAAGCCATTACCTCGAGGTTTGGCCCTGGAATTGGTACTTCTTCTGACTCCAGTCGTCTGGATCCGGAGCCGGAATCTGTCCCAGCACCGTGGTTGGAAGGAACCCTGTCAGGATAAAGAAAAAGGGGAAGAAAAACTATTTTAAATTTAAATTCTCTCAGGGGTTTCACTATCTGAGTGCTGGTTAAACCCCTGTGATGAAAGCCCTCATGCTGTTGATGATGGGCGGTGAAGGTGAGGGCTCCTGTGAGGAGATAAGGAGTCAGGACATGCTTCACTGACAGCGCCGCAGGAGGATGGAGGAGTACTCTTTATCTGAGCCCTTTTTAAACAGCGCCTGCCCCCCTCCTATCGACCCCCCCCCCCCCGTGAAGCTTGTAAAAACCCAGGAGTTTGGTGTGTCTTTGCGTGAGCTTGTTCTGGACCAACACGATGCTTCATCTCAGCAGGTTTATGCACTTTTATGTCCAAAGTCTCCAGAGACAGAAAAAAAACCGCTAAAACGACATCAGACCTTCTTTACAGTGAGTCCACAGATGGTGTGAAATGTTAAATTAGTGATGGGCTGCTGGAGCCTGAGGCTGTGAGCAGCCGACTGTGACCAGATCAGACATAACTACACGAGTGCAGAGCACTGAAAAGGATTTGGGACGTCACGAGACGCAGAGTGTTGCCTGAGTTTTTTTTTTTTACATTCATTTGTTTTTCTTGGAGTCTTGTTCAACTTGGAATATAAATACATCAGGAGTATCAACAAAAACAAATCCTATACCTTCTAAACTGTAGACAATAAAGTGGGTGTGTCCCGGTGAGTGGGCGTGGTCATTCTTGTCCCCAACGATGACTGTCAGTGTGCTGGTTGAGCTCATTTGAGGAGATCCACTGTCGGTCATGAGGATCGAGAGGCGGTACTCTTTCTGTTGCTCGCGATCAAAGGGTCGTAGGGCCGTTACGGCTGCGCTGCCATTTTTCAAGTCAGTCAGATTGAAATTAGCGCCATCGGAGGTGACCGTCAGCAGTTGTATGGAGAACGGGCCGCCGTTTGTGGAGCTGTCACGATCAGTGACGTGGAGCCGGAATGAGGTCTCGTTCATTTGCACGGTCTGTGGAGCCATAGTGTTCTCCCAGACGAGGCCTTGGTACGGAACCTCAAACTCTGGACCGTTGTCATTGACATCCAGCAAGGTCACCATCACTACAGCGGTCCCAGTCAACGGTGGTTTTCCAGAATCTGTGGCCAGGACCACGACCCTGTGCTGTGAGATGTCCTCTCTGTCCAGAGAAGCTGCTACGATCAGCCAACCGGACTGGTCCACCAGGAAATGACCCTGAGGATCCGACTCCCTGGAGATGCTGTAAGAAAAATGTCCATTTGGTCCAGAGTCCAGATCAGAAGCTGTCACCTGAGTTACAATTGTCCCAACGGGGACGTCCTCGTAAATGGACGGAGGCTCGTAGAACTGTGGAACAAAAACAGGTGCGTGGTCATTGGAGTCCTCCACCTGAACCAGACAGTGGACCAGGCTGAAGAAGTCGGCGTCCTCAGCCTTCAGGGTCAGGTTGAACATCCTCTCGTGGGCTTTTTCAAAGTCCAGCTGCTTCTTCAGCTTGATGACACCACGCCGGTTTACTCTGTCTGTCTCCACAAAGAACTTCCTGTCCTCATCCCCCGAGACGATGCTAAAGGTGACTGCAGCGTTCTCACCTTCGTCTCCATCAGTGGCAGAAACAACCAGAACCTCACTGTTGATTTGCAGGTCCTCTGCCACCTAGAGAAGATCCGGGGGAAACAGGATAGTAGTCAGCACATTATTCATAATAAGACTTTTCTTAGCTAGAAAAAGATAAAAAAACAAACAAAACTGAACTGAGTTTCTAACCTTCTGGTGAATTCACCAGAAGATCAGACGGACTCACCTGAGCCGTGTAGACTCTTTGAGTGAAGACGGGCAGATGATCGTTGACATCTGAAACCATGATGGTGGCTGTGCCTGTACCTGCTAACCCGCCACCGTCTCTGGCCTCAACCACCACCAGGTACTGGTCCACAGCCTCCCGGTCTAAAGATCCCAGTACAGTGTAGATGGTCCCAGTGCTGGCATTGATCGAGAAGAGATTGAGGTTGATCTCGTTGCGAACATTTTTGATGATGCTGTAGGTCAGAACGGCGTTCCTGTCCTCGTTGGGGTCGTCCAGGTCCATCGCTCTCATCTCCATCACGGAGGTGTCGGCAGGTGAATTTTCAGGAACCTGACCCAGAAAACACCCGTCCACTTCCAGCACTGGACAAGGGAAGAAGGGTGCGTTGTCGTTAACGTCTCTGACTTCCAGCAGCACATCAGCGAACCCTGTGAGTCCTGTTCCAGCCTCATCTGTGGCGAGGACGAGGAACCTCCAGGCTGGACGTTCTTCACGGTCCAGTCGACGCTGGGCGTAGATCCGTCCAGAGAGTTCGTCAATGGTGAATTCACCACCGGCTCCCTGACCGTGGAGTGAGTAACGAAGGGCAGTTTGATCGGCTTCCTGGTCTGGATCAGTGGCTGAAACCTGCCAAAAGAAGATTAAATGGGAGCTAATTATGTTGCTAACATAGATCTGAAAATACCAGATCAGCAGAAATACAACCCCAAGCAGAAAGTCAAAACGGACATACTGAGCAAAGGGGTTAAATAGAAGTCAACTGGACTGTGTTGGACAAATATTCTAAGGTTCGAATATGAACCTTAAATATTTTCATTTAAGCTAAACATGTTTCAGGGTCTTCCCCTGGAATGTTACATATTTTCATTTAAGCTAAACATGTTTCACTGTCTTCCCCTGGAATGTTACAAACATCTTAAAAACCATGACCGTCAGACAGGAAAGGATTTGGAAAAGTTTTCTTTTGAAGAAAAAAAAACCACAGCACAGAGTGAACTTCCTGACTCCATTTCTGCCGTGACATCAGTTTCTCTGGTTGTTGACAGTCAGTGGAGCTTCAGCAGAGAGAATACGATTAAAGAAGAAGGTGACAACAGGGGGCAGCAGGAGCGTAAACCCCCCAGACCTGGACCTGGACCTGGACCTGGAATTGCACTTGCTTCACTTCACCTGCAGGAATTGATTGGACCTGCTCTCATTTCTCCTCTAATGTTCTCCACGGGTGTTTCTGCTCTGACCTCCTCTAGGAACTCCCTTCAGAGAACTCGGAGAAAATCTCATTTTTATTTTGATTACTGCGACCGTTCACTCTGAGTTTGGTTGACCTGCATCATATTAGGAGGAAATTGATACAAGTGTGAAAGAGAAGAAGAAGAAGAAGAAGGAAGGAAACGACTTCAAAGACTGGGGTGAACGAACCCTGCGGTGAAATTTGAAAAAGAAGAAGGTGGAAAGGGTGTCCAACTGAAGCGCCAAAGCAACACGTTCACAATTCCTTATTTTAATAACGGTGACTCATGTTCACTGACCTCCAGGATGAAGACTGGGAGCTGCGTGAGCTCCTCCGTCACCGTGGCGTGGTATTCAGTCTGGCCGAAGACTGGCGCTTCATCGTTACGGTTCACCACCTTGACCACCACCAGTGTTTCGTTCTCCCACTTCCCATCGGACGCCACCAGCCGCAGCTCGTAACACTGCTCCATCTCATAGTCCAGAGGCTGAGCCACGAAGATGGTTCCCACCTCAGGCTCCACGTCGAAGCTCCCCATGCTGTTTCCTGAGGTGAGCTGGTAACGTAGCTTAGCATTGGCACCTGGAGATGACAGGAAGATGAGGAGCGTGACGGAGGAAAGAAATCATGTTGTCCACTATGATACAGGACATCTGGAGACAGCAGAGACGTGTCATGACAAACAAAGAACATGGAATGATGTTTCTCAAGAATCAACTTTTTTTTTTTTTGCTGTAGTTTTCAGACTAATTCAGTGAAGTTGGAATATTTACGCCTGACGATCTCTCAGAAAAGCTGTTATAATGAATGACCTCTGACACCGTAACCAGTCTGGACCAGTCAGAGTCCTGCGTTTCTCCAGGCACCGTCAGACTCCACACCCAGGGATGGCAGCACTATAATCTGTGAATCAGTGGCTTCACAAAGTGACTCCAACCTGAAGGCTGAAGTCTGTTTCCTCTGATCTCTCTTTTTCAACGTTCCCAGCCTCACTTTGTCTGAGATTCCAACACACACACACACACTCACACTCGGGACCTGGAGGCAGCTCCGTCTCAGTCCACTCTGATCTCTGTTTACCAGCACCCAAGGAGAAAAAACACCATCTGTGGAGATCTGTGGAGTATCTCCATGACCATGTTAGTGTGTGTGTGTGTGTGAGTGTGTGTGTGTGTGTGTTAAATGTGTATTCAGGGAGTGGTGAGGGAATATGAGAGTCTTTTTGCCCAAGGCAGCCTCTCTAATGATCAGTCTGGCCATATGGTGCTGCCCTCTTAAACCATACACTCTCTCACACACACACACACACACACACACACACACACACACTGGTTTTAATTCTCAGCCCAGAAGAAGCTCAGAATTGCGATGGAGGTCAGATGAAGTGGACCGGAGGGGAAAGTCATCCCTGAGCACAGACTGCAGGTTGAAACTTTTAGAAACCGAAGAACTCACAGCGTGTTGAACTGCAGATGGTCTTAAATGTGGATCTCAATTATTTTTTTAAAACTAGTAACAACAAAAATCTGTGATTTTTAGCTGCACAGGAAACAGGACCTTGTGGTCCTCTACTGCCTCCTGTGGTCATTCAGCAGGTCACCCCTTCTTTCTCCTTTTCAGTCTTTATTATTATGATGACTTTTTCCTCCCACTTCTCCTCCATCATCATCATCATCATCTTTTTATTTCTTTGGGGGTTGGGGGGGTCTTACTCCTCAACATTATTATCCTCATCATCTTATACAGTCGATCCCTCTCATCATTATACAAATGTTTTTTTACTCCTTCTCCTCATTTCCTGTTCAGTGTAACATGTACCAGCCTCCTGCCAGACTCTGTGTGTGTCTGCATGTCTTTATGTGTGCTCGGGTATTTGTGTTGTTGTATGTGAGACAGAGAGAGAGACAGAGAGAGACAGAGAGAGAGACTCAACTCAGTAGAATAATAAAAAAAAAACCCTCTTGATCTCATTAACAGATGCTCTTAATCTGCACTTTTTACACTTGAAGAACCAGAGCAGCAGCAAAACCAAAACCACCAGGCTGCTGCTGCTGCTGCTGCTGCTGCTGCTGCGCCTAATCAGCTTTAGATAGGAGGCAGGAAGGAGGTGGAGGAGCAGTAATCTAAAGCCTTTCCCTCCACTCTCCCCATCTTTGATTATCCACACAGGGTAGAAATAAATGAATAAAGACACACACAAACACACACAAACACACAAGCACAGATTGATGTGAACAAAATTATTAAAAATATTTTTTTTTACATCTCAGTTTCTGTATAAACTGTAGGGGGCGTCATCATCACTGCATAAAGTGCTGAGTCATGCTGTCATTCCTCAGACTGAGTCAGACTTTTTCAGCTGCTCATTGGTTAAGATGACGCTGTCTGTGTGCCGTCTCAGAAATAAAAATAATATTCAAAAAAAAAATTTTTTTAGAATAAAATAATAACTGGATCACACTGTGAAGAAAAAGTTTGGGGAAAACTAGGGGTGTCAGAAAGAGGGGGAGAAAATCTCCAGAGGATGTGAGACAGAGGGAGCGTGGGAGGAAGAAGTAAAAGATAAAGATAAAAAAAAACCCAACAAAGATAAATAACAAACAGACGTCACTTTATTCTGAGCAGAGAAAACCCCAGAGAGGAGGAGGGAGAAACTCACAAGGAGTAAAGCTGAGCGAGGACAAACAAACAGACAAAGATCAAAAACTGAAGGAACGGCAACATCCGCTAATGAGCAGTGAAAAGAAGTGGATGAAGGAGAGCAGGAGAAGAAGAAGGAAACGGAGAGAGGAGTAAAGGAGTCCCTCAGACTCACCTTCATCTTCGTCGTTAGCAGTGACAGTGATGATGATGAATCCCACCTCCTGGTCCTCCTCCACACTCACCTCGTACACAGAGTTGAGAAACGCTGGAGCGTTGTCGTTAACGTCAGTGACGTAGATCCTGACGTAGGCCGTGTCTAAAACACACATGACGTGAGGCTAACTTGAAATAAAATGCTAATATTAAACCAAAAGCTAATGTAGAACCATATGCTACTGTAGAGACAGGTGCTAATTCAAAACCAAATGCTAATTTAAAACCTTACTTGAAGGTGAGACAAATTTCAAACCAATTCTTAAGGATCTAAAGCCCGTTGCTGCACAGTTACCAGTGTTAGGTTGTCCATGTTGACCTATCCTCGCCGACTCTGAGCCGTCCTGTGACTGGACCTCCACCAAGTATGAAGATTTCTGCTCCCGGTCGAAAGAAGCCCGAGTGACTATGATCCCGCTGCGGGAATCGATGCTGAAGAGCCGGGAGTCTCCGCTCTCATCCTTCAGGATGGAGTAACGAACCTGAGGAGGGAAGTCCGGGAAGACGGGATAAAGAAGATGCAGAAATACAAGAGCAGGAAGTGGAGGAATAATGAGAGCAGACGTTGATGCTCCTCACCAGCCCATGTAGCCCAGAATCCAGGTCTGTGGCCGACACCTGGGCCACGGACGTTCCGATCTCTGCTCCCTCAGGAACCGTGGCCTCGTACGTTGACGACAGGAAGAAGGGAACGTTATCGTTCACATCTGAGGAGAACAAAACAACAGGATTTAGCTGGTTTTGGCCTGAGCCTGCCTGCCATGACTTTGACTGGCAGCAGCTGTTAGAATATTCCAAATTGATTTAGGTTTTGGCTCCCGGAGGAGATCAGATCAGGGACAACGCCACAGAAACAAACTCTTCCATCAGGTTCCACCGTCTCATGACTCAGGATTCTTCTCGTCATTCAGAGAGAAAACAGTTGACCCGGAAAAATATTCCTCAAACTCCTGAAAACTCCATGAAGCAGCTCTCGTCACCGTGAGGCTCCACTGAGCCAATTACAGCCTCTGATGTGGGTCTGTTCAGAGCCAATCATGGTCAGGAAGTGCTTCCTCCTTTACCTCCTGTTCTCCCTCTTCCTCCTCACTCCAGCAGCCTATAGAAGCTGATTGGGATGTGAGTCAGTGGGGCTAATGACAAGCCACCGACAGCTGCTGCTATTTTTGTTCCTCTTCTCCTTCCCCTCAGTGATGGACTGACGAACAATAATGATTATAATAATGTAATAAAATAATGAAAGATAAAGATGGCAGCTCCTCTCTCTGCTCCTCTCTCTCTGTGTTAATGAGACTGTTCAGACTAGAGTAAACTGAACATTGGATAGTTAAATAATAACACCTGCCTGATAAATGTAATGTAATGTATGACACACTAGGTGTCAAATTACACCATGGACTATGATGAAGAAATAATAGAAATTATATTTTCAACATTTAAAGACTTTTGGCTCTGGACCTCATCTGGTCTGTTGTTGGCTGACTACACTGTTGGTCTGTACCAGGACTGTTGTAGCTAACGTTAGCTCTGTTGTCTGTACCAGGACCGTTGTAGATAACGTTAGCTGTGGTGTCTGTACCAGGCCTGTTGTAGCTAACGTTAGCTCGGGTGTCTGTAACAGGACTGTTGTAGCTACCGTCAGCTCTGGTGTCTGTTCCAGGACTGTTGTAGATAACGTTAGCTGTGGTGTCTGTACCAGGACTGTTGTATCTAACGTTAGCTCTGCTGTCTGTACCAGGACTGTGGTAGCTAACGTTAGCCTTGGTGTCTGTACCAGGCCTGTTGTAGCTAACGTTAGCTCTGTTGTCTGTACCAGGACTGTTGCAGCTAACGTCAGCTCTGGTGTCTGTACCAGGCCTGTTGTAGCTAACGTCAGCGCTGGTGTCTGTACCAGATCCAAATCAGACTGTAACCTCACCTGTAACGTTGACATAGACGGTGGTGAAAGAAGCAAGCGGTACGGCAGCCACGTTCTGAACACGAACTCTGAGGGTGAAGAAGCTGGTCGTCTCAAAGTCAAGGTTCTCGGCCACCAGGATGGACGCAGAGCCGTCTGCTCTGTTGGGTTTGATATAAAACCGAACCGGCATGTTGGTCTCTGGAACCTGGCCCTCCTCCAGGTTGTAGGTGACGCGAGGGTCACCGAGGGGAGATGTGGCCTTGACAGTCTGAAGAGCAGAGAAGAAGTAAATGGCCCTCAATGAATGGATGATGATGATGATGATGAAGAGCCTTAAGACCAAAATCTTCAACTGTCAGGTTGAACTAAGGATCCTCCCAGTTCTCCCAGTTCTGGTCATCATAACTCACCACTATCTTGGCATCTCTGACGGTGTTCTCAGGGACAGTGACCCAGTACTCCTGCTGCTCCCACTGTGGAGGCTGGTTGTGGACGTTGGTGATGATCACCGTCAGATCCACTGAGCTGCTGCGTTTTCCTCCGTCGGACGCCACGATCTGTCGACTGATCCTAGACGTCTACAGACCACAAAAGTGTTCATTTATTTGTTAATTATCAGCCGGGTGTCAGTAGAGGGTCACTGTTCTACTGTGGGCCCCGTGATATGGGCCGCTAGAGGCTGAATGCTGTCTTAAGTGCAGGGCGGGCATATTCTACATCGATTGTCAAGTGGGGTGCCCCCTGTTGGAAGAGCACTGCTACAAGTGGAGGTTTTGCCTTGTACCTACAGACAGCAAGGCTGCCATGGGGCAGTATATAGCCTACGTCATTCCTATGGCTGCCATGGGGCAGTATATAGCCTACCAAGTCTGGAATCAAACTAACAACCCTCCATGGTTACGGCAGCTGCACTACCCACTGAGCTACAGTTCCATGGTTGTTTGATCAACCTGGGGTACCAGTCTTTAAATGACCAGAGTCATTTACTTTCATCTACCTTCAGTGCTGTCTGTCTCTGACCTGTGAGATTGGCTGATTGACGTAAATCCAACCAGTTGCAGGGTTGATCTGCAGGTACGCCGGCTCCTGATTGGACAGGGAGTAGGTGATGGCTGCGTTGCTGCCCTGGTCATTATCGTGTGCCGCCGCTCGGAGGAAGCTAGTCCCCACCGGGGTGTCCTCTCTCAGAAAGTCTGTCAGACACGATTAGAGGTCGAAGAAGGAAGAAGACATTGGTGAACATTACAGCTTTAATTCACAGAATTTGTCCTGAACTCCGGTAAAAAAAAATTCTGATTGAGCTGAGCTGAATCTCAGTCAGTATTTCCCATCACGCTGAGTGAATGGAGGCAGATATTATAATAGGAACAGAGCAGTGTTTTGTGGCGTCAGCAGTGTCGCCTCATTCACTCATTTCTGGGTCCCTGCGCTGACTTTATGGACTAAATTTATGGAGGTAACCCTGGATCCTGCTGACTGGGGAGAGTGTCAGCCCCGATCAGACGCCACCGCCACCACCGCTGCTGCTGCTGCTGCTGCTGCTTTTTCTGCTGTTATACTGCATTTTCAGGCTTTATGTCAATAATAATGTCCCTGTGACATTTGTGGTCCTGGAAGGAAATGTTTCACTCTGAATAATTACCTCAGATCTGCTGAGCCCAACGTTTGTGACAAACCCACAAAAAAAAAAACAAAAAAAAAAAACAGCAGGTCTGGTGTGTTTAAGAAAATGAGCTGTGAGTGAGAAGACTCGCCTTCAAAACAAAACACCTCTTCATCGTAAATGTCTGTAACAATAACCAGACAGAGATTCTGTTCAAAACGATCTCATATGAATATATTTATAAGACTCACCTAACAACCTCAGCCTTAACACCAGTTCATTTTCATTTGTATTCAGCGGCACTAACACTGTGAGAAAGTTCTGCCGTAAAAACCAGAGAAAGACAGAAAGTCGACCATTTCCTGTTTGTGATTGAATGAAAATCTATGTCCCAGAAAAGATTGAACTCTGCTGTTCAATAGTTAATGAGTCGCTGTGACGAAGAGCTGAGCCTTTGATCAAACACAGATAAAAAGAAATCAGTGAGAGTAGGAAACAAATATTTTATCTGCCTATCAAGATGACACACACACACACACACACACACTGGTAATAACTATCTGGTGTTATTACACGGTGTACTCACACTGGTAGCGACTGTTCTCAAACTTCGGATCGTTGTCGTTCTCATCTGTGATCACCACCGTGACCTGGCAGATCCCGATGAGCGGCTCGTCCGCCTGGTCTGTGGCCGTCACGGACAGCGTGAACTCTCTCTGACGTTCACGGTCGAAACTCACCGCGGTGGTGATCACGCCTGACAGACAGATGTCAGAACTACAGCGTCGCTATATTTTTACTACAAATCACTGTGATAACAGTCGCTGTAGCTGTGGACGTTACCGGAGTCAGGATCGATGTCAAAGCTAGAAGACACCCCGTCTCTCGCCATGATGCCGTACTTGACCTCTCCGTTGACCCCCATGTCGGCATCTTCGGCCTGGACCTGAAGAACAAATGTCCCAGGAGGCTGGTTCTCAAGGACGGCAGCGTTCAGACTGGAGCTCTGACACCGGGAAGAATGTGTTATATGTGATTCTATTTGTGAGTTTTATCAAACAGAAATGGCAACAACTTGGACGAAATGATTGAAATTCAGAGTCGACAGGTAATAAATCAAAACGGTTTTTTAAGTAATGGACTTTGACTCACTTCCTGGAAAACTGGTTTGTTGTTGTTGATATCATTAATTCCCACAATGACCTGGGTGGAGCTGCTGAGAGGGTACGGACCGCCAGAGAGGTTGTCGTCTGTGGCTGTGATGTTGAGAACATACTGAGGTCCCATCAGCCTCGGGGGCGGACTCTTCCTCAGCTGGATGATTCCTGAGAACAAACAAACAAACCTGGAGTTGAGACTCAGACAGACCGGACCAGACTTCACCTTCTTCTCCTCCTCGTCTTCTCTTTTTCACCTTTTTGTCTGTCCAGCAGGAAGTTGCTGTCCTCGTTTCCTCCTGTGATGGCGTAGGAGACGGCGTCTCCATCGGGGTCGTTGGCGTGGACGATGGCGACCAGGGTGTCCGGTCCTGCGTCTTCACTGAGGAACGTCTTGTACCTGAGAGACAGGGAGGTAAAAAGAAAGAGGTGGAATTAGAGCGGCTCCCGCTGAACAGCAAATAAAGTTTGAACAAATAAATAATTTAAAAAAATAACAAAGTTGGGAGAAAAAAAAAGTGCCAAGGACGAAGGAGGGAAGGAGTCAGACAGAGGAGCGAGAGAAGAGAGGAGGTGAAAACCCAGAGAGGAGTACTGCAGGAGTAAAAATAGATTCTGGTTTTAGGAAAAAATAAATGTAATTAGCATAGTGAGTCTGTGGGCGAGAGACACTGACTGTGACAGGAGAGTGGAGGGTGGGGGGGGATGAAGAGATAATGTAAAGGAGAGACGGGGAAGATGAAGAGGGGGAGAGAAATGAGATAAGAGGAGAAGCGTAACCATGATAACGAGGAGGGGGTGAGGAAAAGAAGGAGTCGGAGATGGAGCAGAGAAGAAGAAGAGATAGAAGAGTGAAGAAAGGAGAAAAAGTAAAAAAAAAATAAAGCTCACACCAAACCTCATAGAGAAAATCAGTGATTCTAGCTCCCCGAGAGACAGCAGATGCTGGTCCACTGTCGCCTCTTGTGGTCAGTTTGTGTCACTGAGGTAAATCTGACCATTTCAAACATGAAGTCACAAAGTAACACGTTTGATTTTAGTGATGGAGAAAGCAGTAGATTTAACTCCGGACCACGGCGTCTGTTTGAGCTAAAATGACTGATTTTCTCTATGGACTTTTGAATGGTAGAGTAACCTACACGCTCTGGGAAAAGATTGGTGCTTCGTCGTTCACATTGGAGACCCTGATGCGTACGGAGGCGGAGCCTGTACGAGGAGGCGTCCCCGCGTCCACGGCCACTACCACAAACTCGTAGATGTGATTGGACCGTTCGTAGTCGAGGCCGCGGGCCGAATTGACGACCCCCCCTGACGTGATGTCAAAGGCTCCGTCTCCACCGTGGATGAAGTAAGAGATCTTGGAGTTAACACCAGAGTCACAGTCACGAGCGTGGACTGAGGAGAGAGAAGAGGAGGAGGACGACGATAAAGACAATCTGGAAACAGATTCTACCTTTAACTAATTGTATATGTGTGTGTGTGTGTGTGTGTGTGTGTGTGTGTGTGTGTTTCAGTGTGTAAAACCTTGCAGCAGCGACGTTCCTGCTCGGACGTTCTCAGGAACATTGTCTCTGCTGTAGATGGACTGCAGGAACTCTGGAGTGCAGTCGTTCTCATCTGTTACATCAACCACCACCTGCAGGGGGCCCCCTCACCGTTAACCCAACTCATAAAATCCTGAACCTGATCTTGTTTATATGGAGATGAAGCTCTTTTACACCAAAGTCCAGAGAAAAAAAAATCTGTCATTTTATATCAATGGGACAAATGTGGAACACAGGTTGAGATGTAATTTTAGTTCAATGGGACAAATGTAGAACACAGGTTGAGATGCTGCTGCCTCTTGTGGTCAGTTTGTATAACACCAGAGTAAAAGTTAAATAGAATTTATAAACTTTGTCACTGGAGCAGCAGTGCTATGAGGCAAAATCATTGTTTTTTTCTATGGACTTTTCTATGGTCTGGAAGAGATGTTATCTCGAAAATTATGTCATTTTTGTTTCTGGAATTTACCCATGATTCTCTGTGTGTGTGTGTGTGTGTTTGTGTGCACTGACCTCAGTCACACTGCTCAGGCCAGTATCCGGCTCCGACGCTCTGACCTGCAGGACGTAGACGTTGTGTCCGCTCTCATAGTCCACAGTGTGGGTAAGTCTGAGAGCGCCGCCCTGCTGGTCAACGCTGAACACGTTCCCTGGATTGACCAGCAGCAGATAAGAGAGAGACTTCATCTGGAAGCTGACAGCCTGGACCACTGCCACACTGTGTGAGTGGAGAAGGAGGAGCAGAAGTTTTTTATCCACCGACTTCATAAACGGTGAGGTTTGAAACTGAAACACTTCAACAACATGCAAAAAAAAAACAGAAAAAAAAAACTGACACACTTACAACAATAGGACACACACGCGACTCACATGGTGGCATGGATACTTGGATATTAATACAATGTGCTTTACTCCCCTCAGGGGCAAACACACACACACACACACACACACATGTGTATTCAGAGGTTGCTTTTAATAAATATTTGAATTTGTCACACGTTCAAATTCTGAGCCTCAGGACACAAACACAACTGCATCCTCTTCATCTTTGACCTACTCCTCCTCCTCCCCCCCGTTCTCCTTCTCCGCCTCCTCTTCTCTCTTATCTCTTGACTCCTCCATCCCACTCTCCTCCTCCTCCTCCTCCTCTTCTTCTTCCTCCTTTGTTCATTCCTCTCACCTCTTTCTCTCCATCTTTTCTTTTGTCTCGCTCCATAGGGCTCATCTTTATATGCATCAAATGACATCTCACACACACACACACACACACACACACACATTGAGCAGTAAAATGTAAATCATGTTCCTCGGGGATAAACACACACAGAAACCTCTGTAACATCAGTAACAAACGCACACACACACACACCACAGATCAACTTTTGGCTAATCTTAGAACTTATCCCCTGTTGGTCAACATTTTTACTACAGTGTTTCCGTAGTTCACCTCACGTCACCTTAACGTTGAAGCTACTGTTCTAACTCTAAGTTATCATTAATTATTTTGATTTTAAGCTGTTGAGATTTCTAGTTATTTGCCATATTTTGTCTCAGCTAATTATTTAAGCTACTTACTTAGCATTCAAATCCATTTAGCTACGTTAGCTTCAAGTTTAAACACAGATATTTGCTGGACTTATACACTAGCTAATTTTTTTTCAACTGATGTTGGTTTATTTCTGTGATTCTTTCCAAACAAGTCAGGAAGTCAAACAGAATCCTTTGCTCTTTTTTTTCCAATACCAGGTCAATGACATCGTCAACTGCAGTGACTCACATTTGGCCAGCAGGGGTGTTCTCAGGCACCTTCAGCCTGTAGGTGGTGTTGGTGAACTGCGGCGATCGGTACCCGGCCAGGATGGCCACGGCGGCAGATGGTCCTTTACGTCCCTGTTCATCCAGCGCCTGGACGTGCAGCCGGTACTCTTTACTGGGGCTCAGGGGTCGACCTGTGGTTCGGATTTCACCGGAACGACGTCCCACCTCGAAGCAGTCGTCGCCATCTGGAAAGTTGGCGGGTAAGAAAAAAAATCATAAAAGTTTTAGTAAACTTTGACAAGGTGTTGAATATATTTAAAGGTATGTGTTCTTTCGTTAGCAAAGGTGGCGCCCTCTTGTGTTTGCTGTTGGTAGCGGTGAACGGTTCTGTTTCTCATTTATTTCTCACTCAGTGTAATTAATGTTTTGGCTCAGCATTAAAAAAAAAAAAAACATTTAATGGTTTTAAATAAGTGGATTATTTTTCTCTACATGTGTAATCACGTTAGAGCAAAGTGAAGGCAGGAGCTCCGTACATGAAAGCTTCAGAAATGAGCTCCTAAAATATAATTTCCTTCCCTCTTTTCTTCCAATCCAAAAAATGGTAGAGTAAACAAATAAATAAATCCCAGAGCCAACAGCGTTTGTTCGCTCTCCAGAGACGTTCCTATTATTCCGGCTGATGAAGCTCTCTTTGCCCGGGGGGGTGATTAAGAGCCCCGCTCCACAAGGTTTATTTTTCGCCCTCGTTCTCGCTTCAAATTTGAAGATAATTGAAATTCAACAAGTTCAGTTTTATTTATGAAGGGGCTGCTTTGAACAAACAGGTTTGTGGCAGGACGCCTGAGGGGGGAGAATTACAGATCAGGGGTGAGTACAGGAGTGAGCGGGTGAGGAAACACCAGAGGGCGCCGCAGGTTCTTGGCTGTGACACGTGAACAAATGTTAAACATGTGTAAATGTGTTTAGATTTTACATTTGACACGAGGCTGAGCTTTGGTCTGACATGACCTGTGAACACGACAGATGAACTGACACTCACTGTCCAGCAGGAGGAACTGGGCGTGGCCCTGTGACCCGTCGCGCTGCCGAACCGACAGTCGGTACACAACAGTGCCAGGCCCGGCGTCAGGACCCACGGCGCCTAGATATGGGACAGGAAACATGGACCACTGCAGATCGGCCTGACTGGGCGTGGCCAAGGTCAGTCTGCACAGGTACCAGTCATCACCTGGACGAGAGACAGAGAGAGACAGAGAGAGAGAGGGGACATCAGTCAGAGTAAGTCTCTACTCAAACTAACATATTTTTAATGTTCCTGCATTTATTATTTAGCTTTTTAGACGTGATCCAGTCAACGTTCTGTCCAGATGTAAATATGTTTGCATTAATGAAGCGGAAAACTTTGATGCACAGTGACACAAACTGGCCACAGGAGGCAGCAGAGGACCTGCACCTCCTGTGACATCGTGAGCTAAAATCACTGATTTTCTCTGTGGACTCTGGTGTGGAAACGTGGGTCAGATGAGTTTGTTCAGCTAAGAATCAGACGTCAGTGAACTTGACACAGAACTGTTGAAAATCTAAATTCCCAGTTCCCACTTCCCTGACCGTGTTTCTCGGTCAACATGTGTAAATGTCATGATTCTGGTTCCACTGACCTTTTCTTCAGCCTGACGGACTGAGGAGACATTTGTCCACTTTAATTCCCCGCCCCCACCCCGTCCCCCCTCCTCCCCCTCCTTTGTTCCTGTGTGTTTAAGTGTGTGTAATGTACCCTGAGGCTCCGACACACACACACACACACACACACATATCAGAGTGAGCTGATGTTCATCATGATAATGTCACAGATTTGATTTCACATTTAAACGCGTCGCTCAGAGCACAGCGTATGTAAAACATCTGACAGAAATAGACGCCGTTATTCAGGAGGTGATGAGGGGCGGTGTGTGGGGGAGGGGAGAGGGGGGGGGGGGGGGGGGGGGGGGGGGGGGGGGGAGGAGAGGAGGCTTCTTTATCACCTCCTCCCCTGCTCCCAGTAACCCCCTCTGTGACCTCCTCATGAGAAAATAAAAAAAAATGTATAAGATCAATCTTTAAAAGTACTGAAAGTCTAAAAAGTACGTCAAGGTTGGCAAAACTACAGAGGAGAAGTAACAGTTTGGTATTTGTAGACTTTTTTTTTTTAATTTAAATGATGTTAAATGTTCACTCTAGATCGGCTACAAAAGCTCAACTGTAGGGGAAACAGTTTTCCTCCAAGACGGCCGAAAGTCAGCCTTTCACAAGGGTAATCTCATTTGATCAAGAAATACATAGAAAAAACATCGTCCTACAAAGAAGTAAAGTCCAACATTTTCTATAACAATATTAAAAATTCACCACAGTTGACCTCAGTGATGGAGCAGCGACGACTGCTGTGTCTCTGAGATTAAAATCACTCGTTTTCTCTATGAGGTTTGGTGCAGGAGGGACAGAGAGAGAGAGAGAGAGAGAGACAAACTTTCTATACAATATTAGAAAAACTGAAGTTGTGAGAACACACACACCAAACACACACACACACACCTACACACATTACCACGCATACACAGGTTCACACCGCTGCTAACAGAAACTCAAAGTGCTTTCACATGTCGCCTCAGCAACTGGTCTCATGAGAACACCTGCATCCCGTCGCCATGGAGACGCATCCCACTGTCAGTCACTCACACACTCACACACTCACGTACACACACAGGGTGTGACTGTGCCTGTAAACCTGTGTGTGACGCAGACTAACTCGATTTCATAATCAACTTAAATTCAAGATCAATAACTCAGATTCTTCTCCTGGACGTGATTCTGAGACAGACAGGAAGTCATGCCTTATAAGGACACGACCCTCTGTTCACTTCCTGTTAAATTAGTGATTTATTTGACTGACAAGAGTATTTTTAACTTTAATTGACGAGGTCCAAATCTTTTTCCATTTATGTGTATTTTCTGGTTCTCATACATCAGTGACACAAACCAACCACAGGAGGCAGCAGTGGACCTGAACAGCAGTTCCCTTTGTGCCTGTTTATTATTTAAATATTATTTAAATATTTGGATTTGGTCTACCACAGTGAGTGGTTTATGAAATGACAACGTCACAGTTGGAACTAGCAGAGTCGCCCCCTTGTGGCTAAATTCTACCTGTGTCTTACATCTGAGCCTTCGCCTTTAAACCAGAGAGAGATTTTTTTTGGTATTTGGAGTCGTTCAACTCGACTCAAAGAGAGAGAAGGAAAACAAATGAGGTGACAAAGCTTCTAGTCTTTGTTGCTCATCATGAATTATTCTCATTATTATCTGCCTCGTTATCACATATGCACATACACACACACACACACACAACACACTCTCTCTCTCGCTCTCCCTCTTGCTCGCTCTCTCTTCTTCCTCTTCTTCATCAGCAGTGAAAAATTGGGATTAATTAACTCTATGCCTGCAGGACTTTGACTGTGTGTGTGTGTGTGTGTGTGTGTGTGTGTGCAGAGGTAGAACTAGGCCAGTCTATGTGTTGGTTAATTAGGATGCAGCAGGACTCTGTCCGCTGGCTCACAGGGAGCAGATGGAGAGACCGGTTCACAAACAGAGGAGTGGGTATTTTTTCTGTCTGATCATTTTTCTTCACTGACATCCCCAGCTAAACACAGAGACAGATCTTTGGCTTTTATTGGTTTTGCTTTTTTTTTTATTCTAGTTCTAAAATAAATATTACCCCCACCCTGATACAAACACCAAAGTCCATAGAGTATCTGGGCTTTTAGCTCAGAGAGAGAGAGAGAGAGAGAGACGCAGGAGCCACTGGTCCGCCGTTGATCCAACACCAAAGTCACAAATCTAGAAAATGTTGTGTTCCTGCTAAAATCACTGGTTTTCTCTGTGGACTTTGTTGTGGGAGAGCACAATGGAAATGTAATACATTTACTGAGACTTGATGATGTGGATTTTTTCCATCTTAAATCCATGGAAATGCTATGAAATTCCCATCACTGTCATTGGAATCCCCCCCCCCCCCCCCCTTCAGGCCAGTGTTTCTGAGCAGATTCTGTGCGTTTTGTCCTACACGATCACCAACATCCTGATGGAGACATGAACGACCTCTGGAATCTCAGGAGTGAGTGGAAGCAGCAGCGGCGACATGAAAACTCAATTAAAGTCTGACTGTATGAAGGACGAGGAGGAAGGACGCAGACGGAGGAAGACGAAGGAGGAAAAGGGAAACAGACAAAAAAGATCAATAATAAACTGCGTCGTTTAAACAAAACGATAAACGTCCAGGTGTTCTGGAGAAAATGTTTCAGCTTGGGTAAGAAAACAACAGCCAATCAGTGGACAGTCAGGCAAAATCACTAGCTGATTGTCTAAAAAACCAATGACTAACCAACCAATCGTTGTTGACCGAACAACCATAACCAACCCTCGTAACCATCCTGTTGAGAAATGAACCAAAGTCAGCAGCCAATCAGGATCCAACTCACCTAATTAACCCGAGACAAACCAACTGATAAGCTTCAACGGAAAATCGATCAACAAACCTGTTGACCAACGGACTGATGGACTAATCAACCAAGAAACAACCACAAAACCAACCAACCAACCTACAATCAACCAACCAAGACAAATCAATTCACAACCCATCCATCCTTCCATCTAAGTAAATAACTCGGCTACTAACCAACCGATCACCAACAAACCAACCAACAGCTTTACAACCAACTAGTCACTAGTCTAACTAACCTCACAACTGATAATTGATCATTGAAACTATTTCACAATCATTAGTTAAATCGATAGTCAAATAACATTAATCATTAAATTATGATTTTACTAATTTTTATATTAAAAAGGCAGAGTTTGTTTTAATGATATCACAATTAAAAAGCTAATAATTTAAAGGTTGTGATAGATGTTACCCAGGATGCACCTTGGTTCAACCTGTGTGGTTCAACGACATTGGTGTGGTTCAATTTAAAAGAGATAAAAGAGCGCAATGATCACAGTCCAGAAGGACGTACACGTCCACCGTGACCACGCTGTCAACTGATGACATCATAGTTACATCATCGTTGCATCATCAGCTGTTGTGGTTCAGCCGAGTCAAACGCTGAGAGTGAAGAACAAAAGAAGAAAATGAAAGAGGAAAAAACAACCAAAGAGAATGAAGAAAATCAAAGGATTTAATCAGACAATTCCCTCGACTGCTGATGAACTGAGGGGGCCACAGAAAGGCATGATGGGAAATGGCTCCAGAGGCGTAGGAGCCAGAAGATTGGACCGGTTCTGCAAAAGTTACAGCAAAGATAAAAGAACCAAGAAACAACTGACAACAAGAACAAGAACACACTAGCTGCTGGACCACTGCTGCCTCCAGTGGACAGTTGGTGTCACTGAGGTCAATCTTCAACAGTAAAGCCACACAATAATATATTTAAATGGATGTTGGAGGCGTCAGTGGATCAAACACTGCCGTGGACCTGGACTTTGGTGTAAAAAGCTGTCGATTATTAACAGGAATTTGAATAATTGCGAGACATGGATTGGTGAATCTTTATGAGCAAACGATTGTGTCATGAGTGTTACGTGGGCGGTTACATGTTCGCACTGAAAACTGGTTTTCACCGTGCGCTCGGAGCATTTGAAGAAGCCCGAACTCTCCCTTCTCCTCAGCTGAGTCCCAGCGGTGTCTCCGTCTGTTTGTCTGTGAGCGCTGGATTTCAGCAGATTTCAACACTCTGCTGTTTCATCTCGGGCTCCGCAGCTCAACAATCAGGTTAACGCCGAAAATCCACCGTCGCCTACAACGGATTTACCATCATCCAGAAGCTGCGGGGCCTCAGGAATGCCTTCCGCGGTGTGTGTTTTGGCGGCGGTTGCTGCTGCTGCTGCTGCTGCCACGGCTGTGTCACAGAGAGATTTGGTCGCACGGATTACACACAACCTCACAACACGGAGGCTTCGTGTGAGTGTGTGTGAGTGTGTGTGTCTGAAATCAGTAGCATTAATACACACAATGGAAAAAACTCGGAGCCTTTGATCGCTGGATTTGCACAAAGTGTGTGTTTTTGCCTGTGTGTGTCGGGGGGCGTTGGGGGTGTATTTTCTTCAAGATAAAAAAGTAGCTTCATTTCGATTTTAGTCCTAACGCCAGAAACTGTGGACCTACAGACAAAAAGAGATTTTAGCCTCAGCGTCGTC